CTAAAACAATACTATTGCTGTTCTCTACGAACGCAGTGTTAACCATTTTTTAGAAAATGTCATTGAATTTTTTTTACATTTTCATGCTTTGTACATATTTGTTGAAGGTAACTAAGGCAATGAAATGCTCCTGAACACTGTAACGTCAAAGCATAATGTATCACGTACAATTAGTATCACTGAATTTTTTGTGTCAGGCAATTACTGGACATTGGGTTGCGACATCACCAATCTTTGTATTTATGTAAGTTTTTTACTTAATCTTCGAACTGAAAATATTCGCTATCCAATTCACTTACTCTGCCGTCGTACTCACATTTTTGCTTACTGGCGGTGGACTAATAGAAGGCCTTGACACCCAAACGAACGCTTTGAACAAATGGCAGGAGATGAGCATTAATTCTATTAATTTTTTTGATTTTATTAACATTTAGTATTTATATTTTAAAACCGGCTAATAATAGCAACCGATAAAATATCTGGAGCCCACTACCTTTCATTTAAAGCCAAAATCACGAAATTTGGTTCAGTACAAAGCTCAAACTTCTTTCCAAACGAAAAATCTGTTTTAAGTATAAAGATTTTTACAAATTTCTAAGTGCAAGCTGTTTTAATAAACATCGTAACTACCATATTTTTATAAGCACTTTCTTCTATTCAAGCAAAAAAAGTCGGCCAATTTTTCAGAAAATTTTCAAAACGTCATAGGGACTTCATTTATAGTACCCCCAAAAATGAAAAAAAAATCTCAAATATCTCCGGATCGCCACAACGTTCCGTGGTGTGCGTTTTATCAATTTATTTCTTGAATATTATTATGCGAATACGAACCTTAAGAAGCCATGATGTCTTAACGGAATCCACAAACAAACACTTTAAGAAGAGACGTGGCTGGACAACTGTCTCGATGGAGGGATACTTCTCTGAATTTCAAGTGGTGTTCACTTGTTTAGCGACCTGTCATTTTGGCTCATTCTCAGGCGAATTCTTCAATAACTGCGGCTGCAAGAGCCCCTCCCCTCCCCCCGCAGCCTCTCTCCCGCCGAGCACAGGGGTATCTTGGTGTTTACGTTCCACCGGGATGAAGTCATCCTGAGCAGTGAGGCGAAAATAGCATGCGGCGCCCCCGCAATAACCTCGGCGACAATGCGTGCACGTAATATGCGCGTCTTTTCGCCGGAGGCAAACGAGCGCAGCAGCCTAGCACCACTCGCCCGGCGCCCCTACCACGACGAGGAGGAAGCTGGCGTCCCGGAAGTTCCTGGCTGCCGAGAATACGAACCTTAATGTGTTCGTATTTCGCCGCCTTCTCATTGTAGCGTCCGCCGAGGCGCTCCGGTTTTGTTAGGCTGGCCGAAGCGTCAACGACGATCGCGTGATGGACTTGACTAGCACCAGGCCTGGACGGTGCTATTGGAGGACATTAAAGGATTAAATTCGACACAAAAGTTAAAGTCCCAAGTAAAATATTTTCTGCTGCACAACTGTTTCTATACAACTAGAGACTATACCGAGCATCCAAAAGGAAAGTAATTTTAACAATGGCATTTAATGTATTATATATCATTTGGATTGTATAATTGTAAAGAACTGGTAACAAGTATTGTTCTCCAGCTTCTGAGTCAATGACCCCCATCTCGATCAGGTTTTCGTCCAGTTTCCCTGATTCTCGAGCAAATGCTGCGATGGCCCCTTGTTTTGCTTCTGGACATAAATGTAACTTCAAATTAACTTCTCGCCATATCACGTCATACACAGCTTTTAACTGTTTTGACGTAAATAAATGAAATAAATAAATAAAACGGTTCCGCCCTCCGATGGCCTTTTCTTCTTCGAGGAGCTCCGTCCACCTATTTGCGACTGCGGCTGTTTTAACTTGTTCTAGTATCCTATTGTGGCGCAGTCGCCAGATCGGGGAGTGGGTGCGGCCCTCCGAGACCACATGGGCGTTCGTTTCGGAGGTGGGGGAGTTAGTGTTATCGGCATGTTTGCAGCCGCGGCGGCAGAAGCGCTTGTCCCTGGACTGCTAGGGTTGGTGATTAAGCGGCCAAGAGGAATTGAGGCCGATTGGATGGATTTGTAAATCGACGGCCTTATATTCACTTCCGGCAGCAAGAAGAGAGTTGATTCTTTACCAGCGACTGTGCGGCCACGAAGATTCCTTGCTGCGCCAATTCCCATCACAACGTAGACCGGGGAAGGTGGCTCAGGGCATAAACTGCATGTCACTGTGGTCCATCTGAGCGGGAGCTCCTAGGTTCGAGTCCCGACGGTGGCAGGATTTTCGACGCTAGCTTGTTAGCAGTGTCGAATTGAGTCGCTGTTTGGAGAAGAAGTCTGGCAGCCGGCTGCTCTGATCGGTTTTCCTTGGTTTCTCCGATCAAAGCCAGGCGAATGCCGGAGCAGTACTGTATCAAATGGACTAGAGACCGCGCGCAATTGCACCTTCCTCTTCGTTATCGTATCCTATCCTCACCCATCACACACACACACACACTAACATACACTACACTACTACACATGCCTGATGGCCGGTCGGGAGCTTGGATCTTGGCCCGCCTGGGGCCGTGTTCCGCTGTTGGGAGATACGTGATTGGGAAAACTCCTCTAGCTGACGGTAGGTCAGCGCCTGATCTCGCCATACAGCGGCGAAAAGCGCCTCTTCCCCTGCAAAAGCATGCAATACATTTACAGGACTAATGACCGTGGTAGTTGACGTGCCAGGAATCACGAAAACAATCAATCAAACCGTCACTACTTAACATACGCTTCCTGAAATAGTGGTGGACGAGCAGGTGTTGCTTGCCGGGCCCGTGTAAAGAACGGGTGCAGGCGTTTGTGGATGCATTTAAATAGCGGTATATGACACCTGTGCCAGCGCACAGACATTGGCAGTGTGCGGCCTCTTCAACCAGGTCGGCCCTCGCATGCTCCCGTTCCAGGGCCCAACTGTTCAGTACCTTACATGCGCTATCTACTGCCTAAAAGTCTGCTTCCGTTGTCGCTTTCAGCACTCCGTCTCTCCTCCCTGGCGGCGTATAGGAAAGCCGTCGAGGGAAGGGCCAGGAACTGCCAGGCTCTGCCAGGCTCTTGCACGAAGTGCAAGATCGAACGGACCCATGCGGAGCGGAAACACCGAGGCGGGCTACACGAACTGGCACAGTGCATCAATCGTGTAATGGTCATGGAGGCGTGATTGAGCTATGTTGTCTAGAATGCTCCAGCAGCCCGGTCCAGTTTTCCACTAGGCGAAATCCAAAAGGGCGTCCTAGATAGCCTCCCCAGCCACCATGGCGGGCATTATGACATCCCCGCGTGAAATGTCGACTCCTGTACCCGCCGACGTATTTCACAGAGGGTACGGCCTGTCGCCGCCGAGCAGCAGCTGCAGGTCCGCTGGGGCCGTGGCAAGGAGTCGCAAATAGTAGATCAGGTCGCGTAGGTCAAAACAGCTCGACTAGAGTAGGTCGACTACGCGAAGGACGGGGTCAGTCAGAATGTTGAAAACTTAAGAGACCACTGAGAGGGCACCACTGTCGGATGCCGCACTGGATAGGAATAGGGGCAGCCCCTCTTCAGTTACATTTCAGTCGTCGTTTGCTTATAAATATCGGCAACCGTGATTCGGAAACCGGGCCTACTCCAACTGCCTCGCTCGCAGCGCGGCAATGGGGGGCCGCCCCGAACACATTGTGAAGACCCAAGAGCGCCAAACACATGTGAGTCCGACCGATTTGGGCGCGCTGGAGTTCACGTCCGAGCAGGGAATTCTGCCCCAGCCTGCCATCGAATAGCCGGAATCCCTTTGTGCCGGCGAAAGGATTTCATTCTCTTCGACCCATCAGTCGAAGCGGGTGACCCAGAGTCCTGTGTGCAACTTATACATTGTTTAGATTTATTTAGTCAAGAAACAGTAAAAACTGTATGAGACGTATGGGGGAGAAGATCATCTGCGCACGTTTACTTGAGTTCCAGAATCCCTTCCCATCATTTTAACTATAAATAGTTGAAATATGAGTAAAAATTAAAAATAAATTAATAAAATTTTAAAAAAGCGCGAGATTAGCGACATTTGAAGAAAATAGACATTTTCGTTTCCGAGTTCTTGGCATCGTTAAACGAATTGCAAGTATGATTTTTCTTCATTGCTAACAAATAGTAACTTGCACTTACCTCTACCCCTACCACTACAAGCAAAAGGAGAGTTCATCAAAACGTGCGCATAGTGAAGCTGCATTTACGTTCAGAAGCAGAACAAGGGGTATCTCAGCATTTGGTCAATGGATCAGGGAAACTGGACAAAAACCTGATCGAGATGTGGACATTAGGTCATGGGTCGTCAGTTCGAAGGGTCTCCCCTGCCCCCGTCTTTGGTACTAATGTAGTACGGGATCGACGCCAGTCATCAGATATGCACTCGATCTTTTTAACTAGGTCAAGGATGGGGTTGTAAGCTTGGCTCTTAGGTCAAGTACTATGGTGCGCGATCAAGTGCAGGGAACGTGCCTGTAACATGCGTAGAATACGTGAGGGATGATACGGGGCAACTGGGTCCCAATTTGGTTTTTAAGCAGTGTTCCTATCGAAATTTCCATAAAATTGACCGTTTCTTCTGAGTACCTCCCGCGGGGTAACGTGCGTGGATCGAAATCGAGTAGAAACTCGAAATCTATGTAAAATTACGTTGACGCATCCATGGGCTCTTCATGACGAGCCTGTAACGCCTTAACATATTATTCAGGGGCAGGCCGTTTGAATTTGGGATTCAGTGGGAAGCGATTTCCACTTTTAAAGACAATGTGCGAAATGTTCGCCTGGTGCAGCCAGTTATTTATATTGTACACTTTTCAGGCAAAACCAATCTCATAAAACTAGGTACATTGGAAAGATATTGGAGATATGGAGAATGTTTATAAATTTGGAAGATAGTCTTCCGATTTTATGTCGCTATGACGTAATGGAAAAGAAAAAAAACTTCCAAAAACAAATTTTTTTTGCAGAGCATGAAGCTTCTGCATGTGTATATTGGGGGAATCAGACACAGTGCCAACAGGCTGAAGTATTATGTTACGAGTCATCCCAACGTTGCAATGGAATCAAAGATTGTCCCTCGGGAGCAGATGAATCTGGTTGCAATGGCTGCAGACCAGAAGAATTTCTTTGCCTGAATGGAGATGGGTGTTACACTCGACAGCAACTCTGTGATGGGATTCCTGACTGTGTGGACTTCTCAGATGAAGTGAATTGTGGTAGGTGATTTTCTTTCTCTTCGTGTAGTTGTTGCGTTTTTTATTTATTCTTTTATAATGCTCTTCCACTTCCATGCTATGTGGTGTTCTTTTTTTAAATTTTTTTTTTTTTTTTGTGCATTTTTACTTTTCATCAATTTTGAGGCTGTCTGCCCTATGTGTTTACTGTATTTGTTACATGTTTTCTGCCTTCCTCGTGTTTTGCACAACTTTCATTGCAAGAAGTGAGAACTCCAGCTTAAGAACTACTATAGCCATGACCATAAAACGTAGTGGATCTTAAATTTAGTGTTTGAAAAATGTTTATGTACCTTGTAATGAAGAGCAGATATGCCAATTATGTTATTGTCATCTTGTTTCGGCTAGCAACCTCATTTACCTACATAATTGTTTGCTCATTTGCATCCTGTTGCATTCAACATTTTCATCTGAATGCCAGGGCAGAAAATTTTATCTAGCAGTTTGTATTTTCTAAGCTGTGAAATGATTTTGTAGGGTATTGTCCCAGTGGAATGGCTGCCTGCAGTGCTGAGCACAGACATTGCTTTGACATGAGACAACGATGTGATGGACAGTTGGACTGTCCTTGTGGGGAGGATGAAGTAAATTGCAGTAAGTCACATCCAGAAAATAAATTTGTATAATTGAAAAGATGTACAAAAATATAATTTCAATTAAAGGAATAAGCGTCTCCTCCCCATCAGATTCCTGTAAGATGTTCTTATACATTCGTTGAGTTTAGTTTACTTTATGCCTTATTAAGTGTAGTTAGCTTTATGCCTTATTTAAACGTAACGAGTACCACCTTTGTATGTCCAGAAAAGTACACCAACAAGTAAATCAACTACAAAAGTTTGTTATTCACATCTAATTGCAAATTGTATTCATACTATCCTCACAATCCTGTGTACCAGAAGTTGTCCAACAAAACAAGTATGGGCGTCGTCACCAGGAGGTTTTGTCAGTACAATCCAAAGTAACCAATATCCAATTAGAACCATCAATATAACGAGGCATGGTCAGTGCAGGCATCATCACAATAATGGACACTCATATCACGGAGTGTATCAATTCCGTAGTAGATCATTCCATTTCAGCACCAGTTTTCTACATTTAGATTCATATTACTCATTAACTGCTGGTATGAACTTTAGCATGGGTAGAGGGGACAAGTACAGAGAGAGGGAGCAAGGTATAGAGATAAAGACGTAAAGATAGTAAAAGACAGGAATTATATCATATCAAAATTCACAAAACTAGACCTTGTATAGATGTAATTATGGACGTTTGGCTTCATATTTAGGGGAACTCAAATGAAAATTTACATTTAATGCAAACATTAGCCAAAATAATTGTCTAAGGAAAGGTTTGTGCTTGTCCATCAGATCCAGCTTGTCCTGGGAAGATTGCATGTGCCAACGGCAATGGCTGCTTCACACCCAGTGACTTGCGCAATGAAGGGCGTATGTGCTTGGCTCCTTTGGACATTGATGGGTCTCGCTTACTGGGTGTGCTGGCACATAGCAAGTTCCGCTGTGACAACGGGCAATGCATTTCTTCCTCCCTTTGGTGTGATGGCAAGGATAACTGTGGAGACAACAGTGATGAACAAAGTTGTGTGAAGGTGTGTAAAACAAATGGATAATCGTTTGTGGAAATGCATGCATTTTTTATATTAATTAATTTATTTAAATAGTTATTAGCTAATACTTGCACTGATAATACTATTGTATTGATTGCTACATACTGATTAGTATATATATGAGGGTATGTATGCATGTATGTATGTGTATGTGAATTATGAAATTTCCAAGAGTAAATGACTTTTTATATCTATTAGATCTAAAATATTTATCACACAATCTAAAGTTAAAGCACAACTTGGAAGTTAAAGAAGGTGCTAGACAATGAATTCATTCTGGAAATAAAAACAACTCTGCATAATGCATTCAATTTATAGTTATTTTTTGGCAGACCAAAAATGATATGTTTCACTACTACAAGAGCACTGTAGATAAATGATATTAAAATCTCTCAAATCAACATTGTATAATGCATGTCAAAATGTTGTAGTAGATTCTGTTAAAGTTATATTAATTAAAAGCTACAATCTTTTCCAAATTCTCCGTATATTCCTAATGTGAAGTTGATTCATTCTTATTTGCATTGAATTAATTAAAATTATCAGATGTCAGAGATAATTTGGGAAAATTTTCTTGAAAAATACCTAGCTTTTGATTTAAATCGGTGAAAGTTTTAAAAATCTGTCGATTGAAATCAACCATCTGAGTGATGGCCACACCGCGTCCTTTGTTTGATTTGCGCTGTGCAGAACTCTGTGATCACGGCGGCCATCATGGGCGCGCTGACGTGCGGCCTGCTGCTGGTGGTGGCGGTGGGCTGCATGTGCCGCCTGTACAGCGGGCGGCTGCACGCGGCGGCGCTGGCGGCGGGCGCTGGGCCGGGGTCGGGGGCGGGCGCGGGCGGCGGGCCGGCCTTCTGGGGCGCGGCACTGGGCGGGCGCGCGCGACCGCCCGCCGCCTGCGGGCGCCGCGCCGCGCTTGCCCGTCCGCCGCCGCCCCGCCGCGCCGGCGCCCGATCGCGCTCTACAGGCCCGCGCGCCGCCGCCGGCTACACGTGGCGGTGGCGGAGGCCGACTACCAGCAGCTGACGCGGCTGCAGCCCGTGCGCGCCCCGCCTCGCTGGCGGCGGCCGCCGGCGACGGCCGCTCCGGGCCGCCGCGCGCGCCGCACGCCTCCGCCGCCGCCGCCCGCGCGGCCCGCCGCCGCCCCGCCCCCGCCGCCTCGCCGCCCCGCCCCCGGCCGCCGCCGCCGCCGCCGCCCCGGCCCCGTCACGCTGGAGACGTCGCTGGCGGGCGAGGCGAAGCGCGGCGGGCCGTCGGGCGCCGGCGGCGGGTCGGCCTGCAGCTCCAGCGCCTCGTCCTCGCTGTCCCCCAGCCGCGACAGCCTCACCTCCTCCACCAGCCTCCTGTCGTTCCTGTCGGGCGCCGACGACGACGCCCCGCTGCTGGTGATTCCGCCGTCGTAGGCGCTCTCCGTTCGTGACGGCCACGACTGCTAGCGATGTGCTGTCGCGTTCACTCTATTGGGGCACTTGCATGTAAATGCCAACAAAATGTACTCTTAGGTGATGATTATTTCATTCATTTCAGTCACCTCAACTGAATGTGACGCAGTTTCTATCGACAAAAATATCTTGCATAAGAAGAACTTGAACGTTACACTTCTTCACAGTTGTATAACATGACAAAACGAAAGCAGAGACAGCGGCATTATGGCATGAATTTTTCAAAGTGGTAATTAAAACACAAATAGAGTTATTTTATAGTTAAGACATTGAACAGCATAAGTTTCATTAGTTGTTTTACTCAAAACAGACATTGTTCCTTCAATTTGTTTAGTAAAATTTAAACTAATGTACTGCTCTCTAAAAATTCAAATTATGTTGAAAGAGGTAGAATGTATATGCAATAATTTTTTGCTTTTAAACTTAAAAAATGCAAATTGCACATGTAAGCGTGATCACACAAAACTCTCCAAAACTGAATTTACTGATGAATCTGCACAAAAACTGCCTATTACATTCATGTACAAAACTAATACATGATTAGTACAAAGTCTGGACATACTAGATTTATTTTCTCATTCAAATATTAGAAATGATTTTCTATTAAATAGAGTTAAATGTGGGTCTAATCATTGTTATATCTTGACAATCCCCCTTCTCACTAGAATAATAAATTGTTTCATCTTAGATCTACAACAAAATTTCAGTACATAGTATGTTAATTAGACTGAGAGTATGGTGTATTGATCATCATTAGTATCTGAATTCTTAACAAGGAACAGGGTATTTTTGTTGGAATCATTTCATAAATTAAAATAATGAAAAATTCAAAGTTTAATACAACTTAGAACACTTAAGTGCAGAGACGGATCACAGTGTTTTAAAATGTATGTGAGCAAGGACGTATCTATCCAAGCAGATGTTGGGGTGTTCTTCACTCTCAGAATGGGTATCAGCTGCGATATACGCGCAGTACTTTCTTACAGACAATTAAGCGTGCAAAGGCAGATTGGATTGTCTTGAGATGTCTTTTGCTTGGCTTTCCCATGTCCATGCTGGCAGGGTGCAACATTGTGTGCCTTCCACTTTGAAAACAGGCTCAGAAATATTAAAGGATATGTTCTATGGAAAGTGTATCCCATATTTTATTGAATTTTTCCTGTAGTTATAGCCCATGTCAAATGCTATGCCACTGCTTATTCATGTTTTTGAATCTACATAAGTGTGACTTGTGGTTCTTATAAGTAAATGTTTTGTTTTCAAAGTTTTGCAATTATCCTCAGCGTATTAATGGATAAACCATGTGCTCGAAAACTGAGATTTTATGGTTGGTGTTTTTGTAAGACTGCTATTTAGTGTTCCTCTTTTACTATTTATTTCTTCTTTGTAGTAATCAAACACTGATGTACTCCAATGGCCATACCAACAACAGAATGAATTCAAGTACTGCTCTCTTCAGTTATTTTTTTCTCTTTCCTTTTAATGTCAGAACAAAAAATATAACAAAATTGAAAAAAGAGCCTGAATCAAAATTCATGCCTGTATTGATTTTCAGGGAATTTTCTCTTTTAACATTCACATCAGAACTAGAACTTCCTGTCTGCAGATATCTCTTGGCAAACCAGTAATTAGGCAGCTCAAGTACTGAACATAATAAATTGTTTTGGGCTTTAATTTTTGTCCCTGTTATGAGTTTGCAAGAGTGCTCAAAGTGCAATCTTATGATTGGAGTTTGGCACTCTCGCTTTCACAGCCTCGTTTTCTTTTATTTCACAAGGTGCTAGTAGTCAGAACAATTTCAATAGGTGTGCAAATGAATATTTGTTTTTGTTTTTATGTACTGCTTAAAAATGTCAGTGGAACAGTTGTTGTATTAAATACCTTGAATGTTTTTAATGTAGTGTGTGTTCCATTCAGTATTATCATTAAAGCAGCATTGTTTTACTCTTTGTTAAAAGAAATAAAGGAAAATCCAAGACTAGTACATTGGAGAACTTGAATTTTCTTAATGCTAGCCTAGCTCTATCCAATTGATCTTAGTAAATGATATTTGAACATGTGCTGGCAACAACAACTGGTTAATTAATGTAGACAAACTGGAGAATACAGCAATAAGGGGCCATTAGACCTCTCCCTCCCCCTTTTCTTATAACACCAACTCCCACATATGAAATTTTCACACCCCCACACTTCATCTACAGAGAAAAAGAATAAAAGTTGCATGAAATTTTATACGTACTTTAATACAGTTTTTACACAACATTTTATTAATTAAACATTCATTTATAGTATGCTAATAAATTTCAAAAGTTATAAGTGCAATATGCATTTTAACATTTTTATATATATGTAATACAAGGCAATCTTCCTTTTCATTTGATCCGAAAGTAATAAGAAATATTGCAGAAACTTTCATTGTTACTTCAATGCCCTCTGTGTTCATTTTTAATACTCTTGTATGAAATATCTCTTCCCAAGGATATTCTTTTCTTAATAACCTCCAAGACATTTTTATAAAATTCTCTGGTTTGCATAAGACAATTTGATGTGTCTAGAAAATATATGGAATGAGTCTTGCAAATTATGAATAAATTATTTGACTCTGAAGTATTTTGATGTATATCAACATTTTAACACTGATAAAAGCACCAAAACTGTTGTGTCAAGTTCAAAAAATTTCTTACTTTTGCAAATTGCATCCTAGTATGATTTCTTTACTAAATGTGCATCACTGGATATGTGGCATTCAAGCCCAGAATTTCTCAGTGATTGAATGTGTACCTGGATAGGTGAAAATGGCATTCTTAACAGAAAAATCTCATCATTTAATTCTGCTTTATATAGAATACACTATCTTCAAAAGATAACATATTGGATATGTAAGACCAACATCAGTAAAGCTATATTTTGAGAATAAAATTAAAAAAAATAAAAAAAATGTACATATCTCTACAAGCACAAATATTTATGTAAAATCACAAATTTAAAAACAAATTTCAATATGTACAAAATATATATCTAATTGAAAAATAAAAATTTGTACATTGATGTAGATATAACTGTAAATGTGTACTATACTTAGAACAAATATCAACATTCAAATATATGCCTTTTGCCATAACACTGTTGCATTTCATTTACAAATTCATGACTCACCCTCCTCACATTTTCCAATACACTGAACTTCAAAAATAAAATTAAAAAAAATCACATTTTAACTACATTTTGTAACTACTTAAAAATAGGACTAGTTTAGGAATATAGTATAAATTGAGATGCAGCAAAAAAGAGCAAATGCGATCAGCCTTTGCTTTGAACATTGTATCAGTAGGACGGTAGTAAACAATTTCCAGAGTTATCAGGCACTGAAGATTATGGCAGTCATCCAGGACACCATTTATTTGTATAACAAAATATCAACTAGTATAAGAAAAGAACTACAGTATCTGCCCCTCATTTTATGGTCTTGTTAAAAAATTTAGTGATTTCAGTTACAAGTAAAAATATGGAAGAGCAAGTTATAGTGTATGTCAGTACAAAGGTCATAAAAACAATAGGCAAACAAAAACTTTAATATAAATATATTGTTTTCTTAAAGATGCTGGCAGTATCTAGCTGATGTTGATGATGATGATCTTTCTCGTTCACGACGAAGTTTGTTGTCAAGCTCTGCCAACTGACGCAGGAAGCCATCGTTGGGACCAACAGCACGGTTCTGGCGCACAATACGAAGTGCTTCTTGGGCAGTGTACTTCCTTTTGATCATGAGATATGAAAGCACACAGGTACTGGACCGTGACACTCCCATCAAGCAATGCACAAGGACTTTTCCTGTAGCAAAAAAATGAGACAATTTCACTTTACAACATACTTTCCTTCAAATCAGTACTCAGAAAGTTCACTCAACATTTTTTACGTTTTTATTGCATAATTCTCTCATCACTTCCTACCTCCACTTGTGACTCCCCCTTCAATGAAGTCTGCTGTTTCATAAAAGTAATCTGAAATGTTAGCCAATGGAAGATCAAGGAGGTGTATCCCCTTATACTTTATTCCAGTGTCTTTATAATAGGCGCTATTGGTATTAACCATTCCAAATGCTGAGCCTTCTGCAGTATTGAGCACATGAGTAACACCAATTCGTTTCAAGTAGGCCTTGTTTCTGGCAGAAGCACTGCAACAATCAAATTATTAGAACTATTAGAAAGTTTCCCATATTAATTAATTTGCTTGACATACGAAAATTCAACTTACGCATCACCAATAAAAATATTAGGATACACTTCATCACAATCTACTCCCACGGATATGCGATTAAGGGCCGAACTTGCATAACCCGGGAGAGGTTTTACAATCACCCTTGTGTTATATAGTGTTTCACGCAAAAGCTGCTCCGTAGTTTCATTTCCATTGTTAAGGAACCCAACTGGATGCTTCAACAAAAAAGAAAAATGAGTATTATCACAGTCATTGCATAAGACAGACTCTACGCTTTTCTTATTTCAGGATAAACAAGAACGTAAATTCCAATTTTCACAATTCAAATTTTTAATCACTCATACGTATCTGCTATCATTTACCTTATTCCTCCACGATGTCATCATCTTGAATTCTGTAGAAAACCAGGAACCTCTTTCTCTAAATATAGATATTACAGCCCCGGCTTGCGGGGGTGTGGGAAGGATTACTGCGATGATTCAACATTTGGTTACCATTGCAATGCAAAATTTTGCCGAAAGAGAGCGTAAGTGCATCAAATAGTTTGTATTTTCCCCAGAAGAGAGGGCTACTTCGCAGCGGCGCCCCTAGTAGCGCTACCTATGCACCACAATCCGACAAATTTGACGTGTGATCACGTGATGATCGTGTACATTTTGTACAATTCTGTTCATTCTATGTAATGTTCAGCCTGGCTATTGAGTGCTATTGAGTATTGACGCGATAGCAACTGAATTGTCGATCAAGACTGATCATGACCGATTAAAACTATGTTCTATTTATTCATTTTAGCCTGATGATGGAGGTCAATTATTGTAATTTCTCGAAATTTCTGTTCCTGTATCGATGGAGATTTTTATAATACAAATGAAGTTTCTCTGAAAGTATTATTAGTGTTCTGTTGTGTCTGTCGTTAAATTCGATGTCTATGGGAATTTTCAATTTGAATTGTCCTTATTTATAATCTTCCTTAGTCCGCTTCTATTTAACGATTTGATTGCTTTATAGTTTTAATTTATTTACGCCAGAAACAGTTAAAAACTGTGTGTGTCGTGCTATGGGGAGACGTTAAATTGAAGTTACATGTATGTGAAAAGGCAAAACAAGGTGCTATCTCAGCATTTGCTTTAGGATCGGGAAAACTGGACGACAACCTTATCGAGATGGGGGTCATTGACCCAGAAGCTGAAGTACAATACTTGTTACAGGCTATTTTGAATTATATAATCCAAATGGAAAATCATAAATTAAATGCCATTGTTAATATTAATATTGATTTACACTTGGATGCTCTGTATATGCTCTAATTGTATAGAAACAGTTGTGCAGCAGAAAATATTTTACTTGAGACAAACTTTAGTATCGAATTTAATCGTTTAATGCCATCTGGCAAGGCGTTGTAATATAATATACATGTATTGTATGTTCATTTTTTGTAGTGAGCTGTTGACATTGTCACCAGATGAATATGATTACTATGTCGAGTGTTGTTATAGACAAGGGCGTTTGCTAAAAATATATTCCCGCCCTTAAGTAACTCTTTTTTTGACAAAAACCATTGATTCATATATCAAGACAATATAATGCTAAGATATTTATACCTACTAGATTGATAAAGGGAAACTTTCATGTGGGATTTATTCGTACAATTATTCTTTATAATTTAAACGTCTTGGAGCTATAATATGTATTTCCCCAGAATATTATGCCATATCTCAGGCGGAAGTGAACATTCGCGAAATATACACGAGGAGTATGGAGGCTGACTGAATTTGAAATAATTCTGAAAGCGTAGCATAAAAATGTTGCTACCTAAACATCAGTCAATGGCACACCGTTCATTTTCAATTGAGTACAGAGCTGTTTATTTGAAAGCTAAAACTGCATTGAGACCGTTGCTTTCTTTCTCAGTTCATAATGCCCATGGGTTTCCGAAAATTTCGACATGTGCTACATTTGATTAAGTATAAATCCGATCAGCTAATTCATGGAAGAATATCATTCCATATCCAAGAATACAAACAAGTCCACGGAATCGTGGATGAATAGTTAACGTGGTAATATAAAATTGTGTCAGGCGCGGATCCACGGGGGAGGGAAATCCCTCCCCCCGTTACATTTTATAGTAACTATTAATTTTAAGTTGTCACGATACTTTCAAGCAAACATATTTTCGGATAGTCATTAAAACAAATAAATTGTAGCACAGTCGAGCTGAGTGTAGCCTTGTCATTTTACAAAATCCGAAATATGACACATTCAACAAAAACATTTGTAATTTCCCCTCCCAAAATGTGTCTCTGGATTCGCCCCTGATAGTGTTAAACTACGACGGAATCTTATTCTGTATCAAGTTCACACCACAGCATAGAGCACTGTTTGTCAATGCCTCCGCAGTTCCTCTCAGGTTTCTGTTTCCTCTCTGCATCAGTGTACGAACATTTCTTGATACCCTGCCCACATCAAATTTGCGTTTCAATTGTTTTTTCCCTTCATTAAGTAATGTTGGTCAAACTGATTGTTTTATGTTGCCCGATGTTGTCAGCAGTTGCCAGAAACATGGCAGTCGGGGGTGAAGATTTTGATTCTTGGCTTAGTGTGAAATTGAAAGCGTTGAATACTGATGAAGGAGTGTTTGGTTCCTACATAAAAGGAATTTTAGCAGGCGAAGAAGAAACCGTTGAAGATAAAACAGAAGCATTAGAGGGAATACTTTCTGAGATAACCGTAAGAATTGTTTTACCTCGTGGGGTAATGATCCCTTAGAGTTATGAACTGAAAATAGTTTTATTTTTGGTAGAAAGTGACAGAAATACCTATTATTTGTAAAATTTAACAGATATTTCTATCTTTACTAAAATGTGATGATCTAATACTAAGAACATGGGTTTTTCTGCAATGTAGGAATAGTTTTATATTTTGTTCATGTAGGAAAATGACATCCCTGCTCATTGTCGAGAGATTATGGATAAATGGCAAAACGTGGGCCAGGGACAAGCCCACTCGAAAGAATCCGCGGAGGTAGTAGAGGATGTAGATGTGAAGTTGGCCCGACTTTTGGAATCGCAAGCTCGTCCTACAACTGTTCAGAGGACATACACTGAAGAGGAGCGTCGTATTCGGGAGGCCATTCTGGCACAATATAGTCAGGTAACGTGTACTTGCCTTTTCAATTAATATAAGATTAATTTACTAATTTATATTAGATATGAAAAAGTATTTCTTAGATTTTATTTTTACATAATGCAACTAAAAATGCTTATGATGCATAGGAAGGAAGAAGTGCTTCAAGTTGGTCAAGTAATGTTTTACAAGATTTCTTATAAGTCCTAAGCCTTTAATAGTCAATACATGTGTGGTTTAAATGCTGACTACCATTATTTGCCTCTGTTAATTAGATTAGTTGCATTTCAAAAGCTAATACATCAAAGATGTTTGTGTCAACATTATTTTTAGTTTATTTATTGTTAAATGGTTTATAATCATTTTAGTTTTGTTAGTCTTTCTCCTGTCACTTTTTATATTTTAAAGTCCCAAATAGAATTAATACATGTTCTTCCAGAAAAAATTATTTTTGCTGGTGTTTTCTCTCTTGTGTCAGATTGGTCTTTCATAAAATGACACTTTTCGTGAATGTGCTTGTTATGTCTAATAACCTATAGATTAATGGCTCAATTAATTCTTCATTGAATGTTTAATATTCATTAAAATATGCACTTGTCTTTATATACAGTATCAAATTGGCTGATTGGTTCTGCTCAGACTTGATCCTATCTTGACATTGAACCCATTAAAGGGTTTCAAATAATTTGACACACTCAAACAAGCAGGTTAATTTACAATTACTGTCTTCTTTGCTAAATTCTTTGGTTCCTTATAGATAACTCTATCCCCTTTTAAAGCTTGAAAATTAACTTCTTTATCCTTGGTGTTTTGTAATGTGCTAAATCTCGTGTTGTTCCACTGATAAGAATTAAATGCTTACCAAAATTTCTTGATATTGAACAATGTCAATTGATAATCTTTGTCATGACTGATTTACTTTCTGTTCTGGTCTCTTTACTGGAAGAGTTTTTCATAACCTTTTTCTCTAGATTGTCTTCAAGAAATTTCTTCTAGTTCAACTAAAATTTTGTTGCTTATGCATAAAATAATTTTCTTTCGATACAAGTTTTGTCTTTTACCCTTAAGTTGAATTAATTGCTGATTCATTGAAATCTAATAAGTAATCATCTTGTCCAATGAGTAATCATCTCCACTTAAATTTTATAGCAATAAAATTGTTTGTTCTTTTTCTCTTTCACGTGTTAATCCAAATTCACGATTGAATGAAGTCCTGTCTTATTAGTCTTATTAGTATTTTCTGATTGAGATACAAGTACATTTGACAGGTGGCCAGGTGAAACATGGTTACCTAATCAGAAGCTTAAATTTTGTAATGGAAGTTATTGATATCTGCATCCCAGATCACATGTCAAATGTCTTTATCTTGTAATAGAATAATTTAGTTTATTGATTACCGATTTTCTGATTATCAGTAAAGACATTTCAGTAATCAAAAGTTATATCTACGTTATTGCTCTCTTTGTAAGATTCCCCATGACTTACAGCCTAGGTGAGTTGTAGTTGCATACATCCAATTTTCTTTCTTTGATTTTATAGCGTTCTGTTAGCTATATAGATTTTTAACGTGTTGTGCATTTTAAATTTAATTTTCTTCTCTGTGTCTTCTCTCTATTTTTCTTCTTCCTTCAATCATTGTTTCTCTTTACTCGTTCTCTTAGGCTTGTTTATCGTGCCCATTTCTCTGCAAACCTGCTCATAGAAAAATGTCCATGTTTACTTTCTCATTTCTGTGTCTTTAACGTCTTTGTTTTTGGTGTCACACTTGTTTTCCCAGCTATAAATTTCTTTATTAAAACCTTGACAGAAGTGTTGTTTTGTTCGTGTTCTTCAATTACTCAAAATTCTTATTATGAGTTAATGTTTTCAATTTGTGGTGTGACATCATAAACACTTGATCAACATAACTTCAACTTGCTTTGTTTCAAGATAAAGTGATATTTTGAAGGTAAGAAAGGCATAAATTGTGAAAATATTACATAACTACAATAATATATTACAAGAAAGTATGTGCTGTTGTAGCAATGAATTTGAAGTTTTGGACCCTCTTGTTCAATGAGATTATTGAAAATAGGAATTTTTTCCTTAAATGAATTTTTCTCCAATTCTTTAATTAAAGTCTTGTACAAAAATTGTTAGTTTTTGGGCAATTTTGAGTGAAATATGTTAAATATTAAAAATAAGGTTTTCTCAGAAATGGTTCCAATTTCATTTATTTATTTTTCTTCTTGTATGGTTAGTGCTAAATGCACTGAATAATGACATCGTCAAATATATGTATTGTTTTGATTTTTCAAAAATTACTTGAATGTATTTTTTTATGTCTCCCATGTCCTTAATATTTTTACTATGAACGAGTTTACGCATTATTGAATTTATGAGTATAAGTGCTTTAAACGATTTTTTATGAAGTTTCTGGAAAACTCAAATTTATTTTATGCAAATGAGCTTGAAATTTCTAACAAGCTTCAAGCAACATTTTCTCCGAAATGGGCCCAATTTGTTGAACGTCGAGTCAGTTTTCCCTTTTTTTCTGGCGTCGATTTGGGGAGGGGGTTGTAATATTTTCGCAATGCTATTTCTTTCAGCTGTTCTAAGTTATACTGATATGCCTTGTTGCTGATTTTTCAATAAATCACAACCACACCTTAAAGAAGACAATCGATTGAAAGGTTCGCTGCCCTTGTTTTGCGATGTCAGGGTTTGCTTACTGAACTGCGATGCTGTAGAAGGAGGTGGTTCAGAGACTGAATAACGAGGACGGCCGCGCAGACTTTTCCGAATCAAGTACCTAAACATACTCTTCTTAGCGGATATTTCCAATACAGAATAATCACGAGCACATTCATTTATCTTCTATAGCCTTTCGTTGACTCGAGGAAAAGTGAAACAAGATTATCCTTAGTACCTCTTGGCAATTTGTTCGCAAAATGACACCCCAGAACGCCGAAGAAACGCGGTGAAGTACTGGAAGTTAAAAGCTCTTTAGTATCGACTATTCTCTCTTTGTACCACGACAATACTTCTAGCAGTCGCGTGTAAGGTTTGAGATTCTACATCCGACCCGGTACTAATACACTAAGCAGTAATGGTGCGTTTTATCCTCCCTGCGTGGACGAGAAGAGCGGAAGATTTACTTATCGGAGTTATCGGACTTCATCGCTGTGCTGCACGAACAGCAGTTGAGGTTGAGCGGCAGTGGCCTCCCATTGGAAGCGCCAATATCATTGATTCCTTTGCATTGTTCTCGTGGTTTGACAACTTTGAGCGTTTTTACTTTTTAGCATACGTGCGTACGTACGGAGTCATATACTACGTAAAAGAGAGAAAGTAACGTAATCCTACGAAAAATCGATTTCGAGATTTCTACTGAAATACATTTTGGACTTTCCTGATACCGAAAAAGTGTTTTTTCCTTCAAAACGTATGCCTGTCTGTGAACACTAGCGCCTTAATTCTCTACCTGGGATTTTTTCCAAACTGAATCGATCTCTGTCGATCTGGCCTTACTCGAAGATATGAGATTTTGAAAAACGCATTAATTTTTGGGAGTGCTTTACATGAAGGCCCTGGGAAGTTTTCAAAAGTCTCAAAAATATCTCAAAGATTTTTATTTAAATTTCTTATAAGAATAAAGTGAAATGCACTTATAAACACGGCATAGGTAAGATTTTCCCATGAATTTTCGATTTTTTTTTGTCGTTACATTAGCGGCATTTATTTGACATTATTGCATTTATGTGTCCACGTGCTTTAAATGACATCGTAGAAAGTCTCTCGAAAACTAAAGTTTTCTGAGAAAAGAGCTCAAATTTTCGCATTTTCAGGAACATTCAAACGCCATATACTCAAAAATCTCGAAATTGTTTCTTTCAACTTTCTGTATGGATTGACAGAAAGGCGGACCGAGGCAGAGGTAGACAGAAAGACAGACGCAGAGAAAGAAACAGAAGTAGAGAAAGGGAGAGATAGAGGTGTATATAATACACACATACATATTATATATGTGTGTGTATTATGTAAGCAATATTGATTCATCTAGAGCATTCACATAGAGCAGAATAACAAAATATCGGGAAAATTCGCTAGATGGCGCTCTAAAACTCCTAAACGAAGCGTTCTAGGGCATTAAAAACTAGAATTTTAAGGCTAAGGACATCAAAGAGACGTATGTCACACCGTAATCTATTGTGCGTTCATCCTAAGAAAAATCCTTATGTAAACAGAAGAAATATTGCGCCGCACTACGCTTCTGATTTATAACTCCTAGCACACTGCTTTCAATGACGCGAGTGGCATGTCCCACCAATTCAAATGGAATAGCAGCTGTCATGCAAATGTCATGTTCACGCAACTAATTTACTGACGATCAGTCTGCTTCAAGAAGTGGTTGTCAATAACCGAATGTCAATTTGTACAAATTATTCGTAAGTTCTTGATCACAATTCACAAGCTGCCACAATTTCGCAAGCGTTGGTGTTTCCTTTCTACACTTTTGCCCTTTTGATGCGAGGGATGTTATTTTCCATCGAACCACCTATAAAAGTCATTGTATGCTTCAATTAGGTTTCTTCCCCTTTTTCTTCTCTGGCGTTTCTAGTTGCCCTTTTTCAGTGAGTTATTTCCGAAGTTTCAATATTCTGGATACGGATATTCCAGTGAACTCTATTTGCTTCACTGGCAACGACGGCTTCCTGTGCAATAACTAATTGAAAACGTTCAGAACGATGCACTTTCCGCTATTCCGAAGAAATTGTCCACACTTGTGTTTAATTATTGAAGGGCCAGCCACACTGAGACGTTCTAAAACGAACCAAATAGCAGGGCCTTGCAGGCCGATCGTCAGCGGTTGCCGTCTCGTGAGCTGCTGCCCACGAGCCTGACCCACGTGGTTTGGCTCGTTCGTGGGCTGAACTGTTAGAGGTCCGTATTCTTTTCGCACAGCAACACGCAGTCAGTTCACAATTGTCTCCTCTAAACCGGTTGCAATAGTTTTGACGCAAGGTTAATTTAACGGACGGTGGCAGATAAATTAGTTCTTGTACAGTGAACTATTTACTTTAGCGTCAGGATCCGTACACCAGCAGAGGTCACACTGCAAACCAATGAGAACCATCCTAACACACGTGCATTCGTTTAAATCAGGATTTGTCTTAGGGTGAAAGGATAATACAGAATGAGATCTTCTTGATCATTCAATTACATTTCTTGCTGGGAGAGGGGAGTGTGGGAGACGAAGAGAGAGAAGCGCAGAACGTCTGTTGCGTTCCACAATTATTTTTTTAAACCGTTCTAAACTTTTCAACGAAAATTTCCGTATGGAATTAGGTTTTAGTCATTTTTAATGTTCGTAAAGTAATATTTCGATTCTACCATTAGAAAACCGAAGAATTGAATTTTTTAAAAACTTTGTGTGGCGATAGTTGCCAGAGGGCGGGGCAACACCGTAAAGCTAGCCTAGAAAACTAACTAGTACGAGAAAGTCTGTGCCATTCTGTTGCACCACCAGTTACTAATTCCATTTAGATGTATTACGGCGACTGTCCATTTCTTCGTTATAGTATTTACACTTAATATTTTGCTTAGTTTTTGCTGCATCTTTCGATAATCGAACGCATCGCCAGAGAATTAAAAAAACTGTTTCTAGCATCAGCAAAACAATATTTAGTCCGTATTTTGTGGATTTCTTCACATAAACACGAAATTTTCAGCATCCACGAAATGCTGCTAGCGTCAATAATTCACAAATAGAAGGGCTGACTGATAGGAAGGCTTGTAAATTTTGTATACATTTCTTGAAAATGTATGAAATTGCAGCTATATATTTGTTTGCTGTGACGATCGTCATGATTATCATTACGAAACTAAAGTATATTGTTGGATATTGAACTAGAAAACATTTCAATCTGTCCGGTCTCTTGCAAACAAGACGTCAATATTTCGACAAACGTTCAGTGATACCGTTGAAATGATAGTCATGAGATCAATCTTTTGATGAAGCAACGTCTCGTTTGAACAATTTTACATTCGTTCTAATAATTGTATTCGTTTTTCTACTGCAAAAATGCCATTACCTCTAGCTTTCTGTCGTAGTTCAGGAGGTTAATAATATGACGATTACGAGTGTTTGGAGGTACTACCATTGTAGAGAACACGAATGTTTTTACTTCATGAAACGATATTGAAGGGAAAATGTCCAGTCTTGTAATTTCCGAATCACTATCAGATTCACTCACGTCGGTCTGGGATTCGGGCCACTAGATCGTTCCGTTCCTGCATCGCTCACAGACCGCTGATGTGCAGTACTCGGTAAAGTGGACTGTAAACAAATCTAACAGAGAATTAAGCGACGAAAGAGGTTTTTCAAAAGTTTTTTCTTTCAATAGGGGGATAAAGCGTAGTCATTAAAACGGTGTTGTCTAAGGACGCTCCGGGTGAGAATTTGACGGGGCCGGGGCTGATTTTAGAGCTCGGCGCCGGGTTGCCTTGTAGGTGCTGGTGGGTACTAGTGGGAGCAGGGAGAAGCCAATGTTTATTATAGAGGCTATGTTAGTGTATGTATATAAATAAATCATTTGTACATACGGCGACTCATCTTTGAAAATAATCATACGTCACAAACAGGCTGCATTATACTGGTGGCAGCGGTGGGTTGTGGAAGACTTCGCGGGAATACGATTCACGCTGGAATTACTGGCGCCTACGGGACCCCGCAGGATGAAAAGGCGCATCGATAACCAGTGGCGCGTAGTGACAGCAGTAGCTTTCGGGGACCGGAGGGATCCGAAGCGATCGCGGCAAAGCTACAACGGACCGAAGATAGTGAAGCTGGAGGGTGCGGACGGAATGCGGAGACCAGACCCGCCGGGCCCCACCGACTCGGACGGCAGGACGGGAAGCCACGGCCGCCTCGGATGTGTTGGAGAGGCGCGAGCCGTGGGGTGAGCGCCACGGCACCGGCACTCGGCGCGCACGCCCATGTGTGCTCAAGGCCGGCAGGCGTCCGCATCCAGACAGACGGAAGAGCCTGAAGGACAGGAAGGACGGGACGAGGCTACCGCCGATACATCATGCAGGGTCAGGAGCAACGTGCAGCCGTGCGGGTCAGATCCAACTACAGCACGTAAGTTCGGCCATCTGTACTTTGCCGGGGCGGGTTTGTCAGGAAGGCTATTTATCGTGGCGTACGTGGTACGAAAAATGTTAATGCGTTTAGCATAGCGGCATATCGAGGAGATCCTGGGCGATGCATCCTCACCGTTTGATTGAAAATAGTTGTAATTAGAAGGAAGAACATGAAGGTCTCCTACAGATATAGCTAGAGGACAGATAACGGGGGATACAGCGCAAGTTACTCAGGAACGCGAAAAGAAAAAAAGTGAACGGCCGTGCGAATGAGAAAGTGACAAGTTTTAGAGGCGCTAAATTATGTCAAAATAATAAGTCCGAAGGTAACGGCACGGTTGAAATGCAATTAAACATGGGCAAGTTTTTGAGTATGATGTAACTAATTGTTTAAATGTTTTGTGAAGCACGTGGGACGGCTTGTCTTCAGCCAGGAGAATCGGCGCTCGATTTGACTAGCTTGTTGACCAATGTATTTTTGGGGTTAGGCTTTCAATAAGGAGGGCATAGAGGAACTAACGAATTATTAGATACCGTTAAGGTCAGTCCTAAGATTTTTCGGCAATTTCTGTTTCTTCAGAAAGAGAATATTCGACATGAGTTGACAGATTACCTAAAGAAATGAATCAAAGGATTTGGGAAATTCATATTCATAATGACCTGATGAAGAAACTTGTGCCCAAGTGCTATGAGGGAACATTTCATTTGTTGCAACGGTGATCACCTATCTTGCTCGCCCGGAAACTAGATCACTAAAGGATAAACTGGGCGAGTTTTAAAACGATCGCGTCGTATCCACTGGAGGAAAAGAGGAAACGCACTCGTTCCCACCTCGGAACCAGGAAGAGCAAGGATAGTATACCTGGGAGCTTTAATTCGCCAGTGACAAAGGAGTGCAAATCTTTACACGGACGTGCGAGTACTGCCAGATACTAGGGGAGAAACATTGCATCTCATAATTGTACCCATGAAATCGGAAGTGTTCCAATCTCAACGTTGACATAGTATATGCACGGTTTCCGGAATCAGAAAGTGGAAGAGGTCATATATTCTCACCTCTTAGTACCTAACGTCAAATTATCTGGAAGCCATTCCAATTTGGTTTGTATCCGATACAGTGATCGAAGACTTTTGAGCTTGTCCGGGTTAATTCTGGAACCAATAAACCGATTTCTATTCGATTTTGACTGACGGTTTTGTCAGACATAACTTACGTCACTTTCCCAAATTATTTTGTCGTGTGTATGTGTATATATATTGTATATTCAATGAATATTCAATTTATGCCTACAGTTTTATTCTGATCATTATGAAATTTTGTACACGTGGCCTTCAAAACAACGCGTTAGTCTGCATGGACGTCTTTTAGACCATTAGGATAACTACGCGTATGAGCGGTATTTTATAGCCCACGAGAAAAAGACAATACCCTGAGAAAACTTAAGTATGCTGACGCCCAAGACTTCAATAAACACTAGTCACTCCATTAAATTAGACATATTGAAGGAAATTATATGGTAAAATTATAGCCTGTTTAAATTACAAAAAGAATACGATCCACTACAATTAAAATATTGATTAGATTTTATGAGGGAGTTTACGAGTCTCTTCAATGAGACCAAAGTCGGTCAAACTAAATCAGGGGATATAATTATAGAGAAATTGTGATCTACTACTATAGCATGCCCAACGCTGGACAGTAATATATTGTAAATTTTATAAAAGAGAAAGTCTGAGTTTCAGCAAGATGTATATAATAGAAGTAGTGCCCCTAGGGTGAAGGTAGGGGACCAGGAATGGGCACCATATCGAACTTATGTGCCAAAGTTTCACTGCGGAAACTGTAGGCCGTGGGCGGAGGCGACGTGTGATTGATTACTTCAGTATCAATACTTACTCAATTACTTGATATTCCGCGGATCGAAGCGCGTTGAGTTCTACGTAAGCGACAGGGAGCAGGTGACTGCCACAGTCTGTCGATATCCGCTGCGTTGCGCGGAAAAGCGAACATAAGCTGCTTGCGCCATCTCGCTACCGAAAGAATCTCGTATACTCGTAGTCTGAGAGATAGGACGTTATTCCAACAGAGCAAGAGGTATTGAAGGGTGTCAAAACTACATTACGATACTTATACACATAGGATAATACGGAATCAATTATGAAGAGCACGTACTGTAGAGAAGGATCTAGAAACTTTACTAGTGAAAAGAAGAAAACAATTGAAAAGAGATTGATTTTTAGAACAAATAAAAATGTTGAAGTTTTCTATTTGTGCTGTTAATATATTTGTTATATCTCTATATTAATATCACACGTTATGGGGAAATTCTGCTTAATTTTGATATCTTCTGGTGTAGTGGAACATCTGAACCTTGTATGAACCAAAAATATAGTGAATAGTGATCCAAAAATGTTGTCTCCTGAAGTTCAATATAACCAGAGTCGACTGTGTGCGTATATATACATCCCCCCCCCCTAAATTTAGCCACTTGGATGTGAATTTATCGACTTTCGTTGCCAGGGTCCTGTAATTCCAGAGTTTTTCGGCCGAATATTCGCGGTTTTTCCGCTCAGTATTACATAACTTTCTCTCTGTTACGTAAGCGTTTGCGAGAAAGTAAAACAAAACACTTTTTCAGTATCGAGGTCCCACAATTTCTGGAATCTGACTACTAACGTGTTAAAGGGAGTAATTTTTCTACTTATTAGAAGAGATTTTATCTCCTTTTTGTGTCAGTGCCCCATGCGTTTTTCTGACGAAATATCACCGTTTTTGGCTCAGCTTATCAACTTTCTCTGTACTACTTATATTACTGTGTAAACGAGAAAGTTATGTTTTTGATATGACACTTCACGCACAACCGGACGGTAATGCGGGTAGTATCGGCGTTAGGCAAGACCTCACAGGGATCAATCCATTTTAAGTGGTCTTGCACTGGTCTCTCGATAATCTCAAAAAATATCATATTTTTACACGAATTTTCTTATGATTTAGCGGTTCAAAAACGTCTTTAATTTTTTTAAAAATTTGTACCTGGTTTAGAAATAGAGGCCATTTTTGTTTTACGTTGTGGGGAATTTTTCGCGTTTGTAGTCATTTAGTTTTTTCTAAATTACTCAACTCTGGGTAGTTCTAGCATTCTAGAGCAAAATACATTGGATTCAGTAAAATCTGGCCTACAAATAGAATTTTATTTACGTTCCTTCTATGTTTTTATTTGGTAAATATTCGCAACCAAATCTATGGAACGCAATTGAATGAAATACTATTTTCAGATAGGAATTTCTCAAAGAAGGAATAGAATCGCAGCTTTAATTTTTTCTGTGCTTTTACACATAACAGTATATTACTTTTTGGAAATATCATTGGTAAATATGGTACCACTTAAAAATTACATCCTCTTAAAAATTGGAATTTTGGATTTTTTTCAAGTTTTTAACTGTAATATCACTGTTGGGGGGGGGGGCAGATAATAATCTGAGAATTGCTCACATGCTAGATCGCTCCGATACCAACCTTTTGGAAGCGTTTTTTATTGTAAACTTGCGCTAAAAAGGCTTCGTTTCCATTTTGAGGATACGTTGTGCCAAGTAGTAATATTACTTTGAAGTATTTTAAAATAAAATTTACACTGACTTTATTAATTATAAAGTATAATTAATTAACATTAAAGAGGCCTAATGTATAATTGTCAAAGTGTGCTTTACTTAACATCTAGCTTTGTAATTGAAAATACGCCCATCTTATTGTTAACGTTTGAGGCGGTTAATATGAAAATTGTTCGCCACAAGATGCTTTGGAGGCTGTTTTCTGTTTTTTTTTTGCTGGAAGCTGTGTCCTGTGTTGTGATGCATTGGAAACTGTTTCAGTCCAGGCCACTAGTCCCAAAAAGGTACTTTTTAGAGGGACTGGCAAACTACCTATTGCAAATATTTATTCATGGAGTTCAGAGCGGGCTGCAGGGCGAGTCTCACCCTTCTGTAATACTGTGAATTTTCTCTTTCATTGTGTCGTTAGAGATGTTCTCACATTATTCAATTCCCATATTTGTGTAAGTTTTAGCTGGCTCAAAATCTCTAATCAGTGTGCATATCAATGATAATGCTCTCTGAAGTTGTCAGTTAGCCTCTCTTTAACTCAGGAGTTCACGGTGTCACCTGCATGTAGCACATCTTCGGACATTTTATATAAATATTCCTTTACAAATTTGAGTAATACAGTCATCAAACTCGTGTTTCGTCTTTTCTTTAATGTACTGAAATTGAAATTTGGCACCACTACTGCTAGGGAATTGTTTTAATTTATTCAAGAGAAGCGGAACCCGGCATACATTGTTCTGCGCTTCATCTCCTCTCTTTCTCCTCTCCTCTCCTCTCCTCTCTTTCTCCTCTCCTCTCTTTCTCCTCTCCTCTCTTTCTCCTCTCCTCTCTTTCTCACTCTCCTCTCTTTCTTCCTCTCCTCTTCTTTCTCTCTCCTCTTTCCTCCTCTCCTCTCTTTCTCCTCCCTTCTCTTTTCCTCTCCTCTTCTTGTCTCCTTCTCCTCTCTCTTTCTCTCCTTCTATCCTCTCTCTTCTCCTTCCTTTTCTCTCTCCTCTCTCTCTCTTTCTCTTTCCTCCTCCTTTCTCCTACTCTCTTCCTCCCTCTCTCTGCCTCTCCTCTTCCTCCTTCTTTCTCCTCTCTCTCTCCTTCTTCCTCTCTATCTCTCCTCTCCTCTCTATTCTCTCTCTTCTCCTCTCCTCTCTTCTCCTTCCTATCCTCTCTCTCTCTCTCTCTCCTACCTCCTCTCTCTCCTCTCTTCTCTCTTTCTCCTCTCCTCTCTTCTCTTTCTCTCTCCTCTCCTCTCTCTCCTCTCTCTTCTCCTCTCCTCTCTTTCTCCCTCCTCTCTTTCCCTCCGTCTCTTTCTCTTCCTCACTCTCCTCCTCCTCTCTCTTCTCCTCTCCTCTCTTCTCCTTCTCCTCCTTTCTCTCCCTCTCTCTCTCCTCTCCGCTCTTCTTCTCTCCCCTCTCTCTCTCTCTCTCTTTTCTCCTCTCCTCTCACTCTCTTTCTCCTCACCTCACCTCTCTTTCTCCTCTCCCTCTCCTCTCTTTCTCCTCCTCCTGCTCTCCCTTGCTCTCTTCTCTCCTCTCTCTCTCCTCTCTTTCTCCTCCCTCTCCTGATCTCTCCCTCTCTTTTTCGCTTCCTCTCCTCTCTATCTCTTCTCCTCTCTTCTCCTCTCCTTCCTCTCTTCTCCTCTCTCTCCTCTCTTTTCTCCTCTCCTTTCCTCTTTCCTCCTCTCCTCTCCTCTCTCTCTTCTCTCCTTTCTCCTCTCATCTCGCTCTCCCTCTGCTCTCTCTCTCTCTCCCTCGCCCCCCTCTCTCCCTCGCCTCTCTGCTACAATGAAGCAGTTTGGATGGAAATTGTATTACAATGAAGCACAATTTTGTTCTGCTGCGCCATCTAGTTGATTTACAACAAAATTAACAGCATATAAACCTTTTGAGTGAAAATAGATAGATGTGTTAACTATCATGGAGATTGGTCACAAGGTGTTGGAATTTACTGCTCTCTTTCCCCAGAGAATAAGCTAGTAAGTTATGAATGATTAAATTTTACACAAGTGTAAAAAACAACTTTCAACTCAAGTAAAGCAGAGAATAATGATGTTCAAACGAAGGTGATATTCAAACTAAACTATTTGTGTGTATGTTTCGTTTAAAATCATTAATCCCTGCTTTACATCATCAGCTGCATGGTGTTTTTTTATTTTTTTGTGTGTTGTGTTTTTTTTTTGTTTTTTTTTTTTTCTCTCCAGTAAAATTGAAGAATTCATCAATTATCAACTTAGTTACCGGGATCAAAGATATATATATCAAAATGAATGTTGGTATATAGAGATTATTATTATTATTATTATAATTATTATTATAATTATAATTATTATTATTACTACTACTACTTTATCATCATCCGGGGAGCCAAATTGTTTGTTGTGTAGAGTACATCACAATGCGAGTGCCTGTGAATCATCGTAATGCTCTTCAAAAAGCTTTAGAAACCCTTGCTACAAATATACAGGCATGGACATATGACACATCTTGAGATGACTATGCAAAAAGTCAACAACATTGGGCACATGTGATTAAATTGGTTTAGGCATCACCTAAAAGCATGCATTGTTGAAAACGCAAATTTTATTTTGTTATAGCTATCAGCTAAAAACGATTGTTACACCATCAAATTTTCTCATATAATTGATAATGGTTTATAATAATATGTTTGTATAGATCAATAGTATGATGTTGCCATTTCATCCTAACATAATAAACCCATTGTTACTCCTGCTGTTTATAAAATTCTATCTTTTCTTCAGTTTCTTCTGTAATATCCATTAATGACATCTAGCAATGTTTTCTCCAATGACTGCAACTCGAACTCTAAGTGTACGCACATTAGTCTATTCGTTTGTTTCTATGTATAGTCTCCTTAGAGACTTCATGGTCTGGACACACTCCACAGTTGTCAGGAGTCCATATTTTGTGGTAGAAAATGTTGGCCCACCATTCTGTTCCACCAACGTACTCTGAAGCACTATTTTTCTTGATGTTCATCATCACATTGGCCCCTGAAGTTCTCTACATCGAAATGGCTTTGTCCTCTTTTTTCCCTTCATTAGTTTTCAAACAATTTTGTGATACACTCAATTGATTAATTTATAGACATTTCTTTCTACTTTGCACTTGTGCTGTCTAATATTTTCAAGCTTTTCTTGAAACTTAATGAGTTTGCCACGGAGATGCAATGTAGCAGTTACTTTCATGACGAGTTCACTAAGCTTTAAGTTATACCGGCAACTAAGAGAAGTGTTGTGAAAAGGATGCAACTTAAAAAAACCTTTTTAGAGTACTAAAGTGTCTATCGTCTTCATCAGAAAATATTCACTTGTTGAATTCCTCTGGGCATTCCTTTTTTCTGAGATCGTTTCCTGTTTCTGCAGACCTAGCAGTACTTCATAACACACCACCTGGTCTTCGATTTAAATTAACTATTAATCAACTGTCATTATTCAGCAGAACTTTCAAAGTTGGTTTTGAAATTATTTGGCATGGGAGCAAAGAATCACACCAATTCACAAACCCTGTAAAATAAAATCAATCAATCATGTTTCAGATGTCTGACCAAGAAGAGGAGGAGCCTGCTGAAGGTGAAAGTAAAGAAAAGGAGAGCGGTTTAGCACGCAACACAAATGCAGCAGTGGTAGCACAAGCAGAGAAGGAGAAGCGAGAGAAGGCCAAACTAGAAAGCCAACGTAAAAAAGAAAAAGATAAAGAAGACCGGTATGTTTGTAATTAAGTGAATGCAAAAAGTTTGAGTATAGTGAATATTTTTTGTGCTCTAGTCAGATTTTGTTTTTTGTTTTTTTAGAGAAAGTAAATATGTTAATATCTGCAGCTTATTGGGAATGTCTCTTGAGAATATATCTATATTTTTTTTGTAATATATTTCAATACAATAATTTCATGTTAAATATGAATGAGAAAAATTATAGAATTTATCATCTGTTTTTCACGAAGAATTTATTTCCTTTATATTCACAATGATTCTGCTAATTATTTTAGTTGAATTCATTTAAATATTGTTATTTCAATGTTTACTGTTTGGCACTGCTTGATGTCTGTCTCTGCTGCAGAGAGAAGCAAAAGCAAATGCAACAAGAGAAGAAAGAAAAGCGTAGAACACAGAAAGGAGAGCGCCGCAGATAGCAAGATGTTCAGGTTCAGCCAGTGTTCCTTTCGAGTTGGTGTTGTGTTGTGTTTATTTATTATCTTTGGATTATGTGCTCCAATTCCACTAGACATCGCTTCCACTGGACAGAGAAATATCAGACACTGCATGGGCATTAGTACACCGTCGGGCACAGCTGCTGTGAGTCTAAGTGAAAAGCAGCTCGATATTAATTTCCTATGTACCTTAAGAGGGTTGGCTGCTTAATCTGTTGGATCTCCTTTTAGATGGCTCTATTAGGATATCAAACAGTTCCAGTGCAGAGAATGCAGATCTGAACAAAACTTTCTTTGTTAACTTATTCTGCTTTTGAGAATATGGAAAGTTAAATACTAGCTAATCAACTATGTGATTCCTTCCAAGGATTTGTTAAAATAAAGCCAAAAAACAGTATTACAATAATGCCCCAAAATGTGTAATCAAATTTGATTTGTTCTGATACATTTTGCTTCAATTTGTACTTAGTTTATCATGCACACTTTCAATTTTCTTGTAATGAATTTTTTAAATTTTTGAACTGTATATTGTATATTCTGTCCATTATATGAGATTTTATGTAAAATTTTTATTTTGATTTGTGATGAAAAAAAAGATATGGAAACTTCAGATATTTATAATTTTGCTTTAATATCCGTATAACAGAAGATTGTGGAGAATGCAATGTGGGCTTATTAATATATAAACATTTTTCTTGATTTAATCACATTTTTAAGCTATAATACTTTACATTTGATTGTCAAAATCTTCACTTAAAAGAAATGGAGTAGTAATATTATTTTGTGAAGTATATAATGATTAATTCTCTTGAAAAATCAGTTATCGTTTGCAATGAATTTCAAGTAGTTTGTAGTTTTCTTCTAATGTGTAAATTTATTAATCTGACTTCATTGTTATTAATGTTCTCAAAATATGATAGCATCAACAATGATTAATAAAAGCAGTGATGGAAGGTATGTTACTATTTTGAGAACAGCTTCTTGTGTAGGTTTGAAGTATTTTTGAAGGANTCTTTCAAAAACTGGTTCTTGTGATTGAAAAAAATGGTTATCTAGCTATCATGATTTCATTCTGTCATCTTGGAATAAGCAGTTATCTATTCCTATTTGCAATGTTCTACCGGCAAATACATGAAAAGTTAAAAACACCCCTGGCCTAAAAGGTGCTGAAGAGTGAAATATAGTAGAATTTATTATCGTCAATGTTTAAACTTCTTTCAAATAAATGTTGAAGACTTCCTTGAAATTTGTTGTTCTTAATATCAAATTTTCTTAATGTCATCAGCGATAGGAAAACATTATTAGTCAGCGAGTTTGGCTTATCTAATGTAATAAAATTTCGATAATTGAGAAGGTTTGGATCAATTTTGAGAGATGATGTTGCAGGCTGCGAAGAGTGCCTGAATAATAGAATAGAATGAAGAATAAATGGTAGAAAAAATATGTGAGAAAGTGTGAAAAATGTAAATATTTTTCCTCATTCGCAAAAAATATGGTTAATTTTAAACATTTGATAGTGTGAAGCAAGTGACATGACCATCCATATACCTCTGAAGGCCCGCAACGTAGGAAGATACTTTTCTCGTCACTTTCCCTCTTAATAGAGAAATTCTATCCTAGACTCAGTACTCTTTCGCCAAAATCCTTTACTTTGCCATAACTTGTCTTTCCCTAATGCTTGAACTAAATTACTCCACAATTTTTGGGCTTTTTAATAATAATATTTAAATTCAGTTGTATTAAATCACTTAAGTCTTGACACTCTTTAACTTGAAGGAAATTCTGAATAAAATTTAGAAATTGAAACTGTACTGCTCTTGAGAGAAAAAGGAAAAATGTTATGAGAGGTTTACTGTTCTGTTGATTCTGGAATTTAGATTTTCATTTTTATTAGATTCAGTGATTGAAACCTGTAACGTCAACCTGTTGGTTGAAATATTTTGTATTTATTTCAACAAGTATTAGTGATATTGCTTGACCAGGAGGAATGAAGGTCCTGATTCAGGGCACAATCTTCATTAATGGCTTTTTCCCCAAATTATTTTAAAGGGCCATAAATTGTATGGAATGGTGGGTTCTAGAAAGAATTGTTTAGATGGGTCTCGAAAGAAGAAAAAAAAAATTGAACAAAGCAAGGGGAACACAATGAATCATACCAAAAAATATTTACATTTCCGTAACTCAAAGCTGTGGACAAGTTTTTCTAAAAATTTGAAATGTTTATGTTACAAGGAGTCTTGGATTAATGAGCCTTTGACATCTTCATTGTGGAGACGATAATTGTTTTCAGAAGTGAAATCTGTATGGGTTCCTCTCAAATACATAATCTAGGACCTCCTCCTATACTCACAGGCAAAATTCATTTCCACAAACTTACTGTATAAATTCTAATTGTGGATTGTATGTGCCGTAGTATAGAGTACAGTCCCATTAGAGTGCTACACTTTAATGAAGCAGGTTAGTTTTATTGTGGGGTATGAACATAAGCTTTATTGTTCGTGACTGCTAATGAGTGGAATCTGTGAATACCGAATACATGTTCCCAAAAAATTTTGTGCCACTAAAGTAATTGTTCTCAAATTTTGCCGAAATACTTTTGAGAAGTCAAGAATAAACATTATGATTCAGAAATGTGACACACCATTTTTTTATTTATTTATTGGAGATGAGTTTGTAACCAAATATGCATCAGAGCAGGTAAGGATGAGGCAGGGCATCACAAACAAAAGCACTCATATATTTTCTTATTGGGAAAAAGTTTGCACCCCACCATTCATCTTTTCATGTTCATTCCTTCCTTGCTTTGGCTAATGGTCATCCAAAACTAAAAATTTACTAAGAATTTAATTTTATAATTATTTTCAGAGAGAAATGTCACTATGAAAATGTTCATATTAGTTACAACTTAAAATTTTTAGGAGAGCCTTTTTTAAAGAATATTGAGATAAAATTATTTGATGTGTCTAAAAGAACTGAAAATCGAGTAGTTAAAAGTAGATATTCAGTTGATGTTTAAAATACAGCCAGTCATATATTTCCAGTTTGTAAACTGATGAATTAGGAGAGAAGTAATTCCCAAGGAACTTTACGTAAAAATGTGGTGATTGGAAAATAGTTAAAACATATTTAGGTTCTTATTTCACCATTTTATGAGAGAAATTTCAAGGAGGAAAAGTTATATTTTGTCATTCATAGTTACAGTATCACTGTTTCTATTAATTGTCTTTCAATTTTGACAATGCAGGAATAAACTGACAGGTTTCGAGTAATATGACTAAAAAATATGCTTCCCCGTGTGAAGTGTGGTTTATGTTCAAAATCATTACTGGCTCATTTTATTGTGGGAACATAAAATTGCAAAACTGAACTCTATTTTTCTTGAAAACATTCAAAATCAACAGGATTCAATATTTGCAATATTAAAAAGAAAAAATAGGAAACTTGCAGCCAGAAATTTAAAATGCCTTGACAGGATCACTGTAAAGTTGCTAACTTTATTTCCCAACATTCCTACATTAAAACTTGTTGTGGATCCTTTGTGTGTTAACTTGGTTGAGTGTTGAGGCACATGGCACTTTCTTTGCATATTTGATGCAAAGCCTTCTGTGTAACCTGTAATAGCAAATATTGTCAGTCATTCGTACAAAAACCGGCATCTGTTTGATTGTGTTCATTTGCCTACTGTTAGGTGATGGATTGTGGAAAGATTGAAGGGTAGTACTTCTTTGATCTTAAGTTCAAAGCAGTTCTTAAAACTGCTGATGCATATTGATTTCTGCTAATGTATTCCTGAAAGCACAGACTAGTTTCTTTAAAACCCTAGTTATTCTCATAATGCTCTGAGATAAATTAATGTCAATGTTTTTTTGTTTTTTTTTCCTCTCTTCTAGGTATTGTATCTGTGATACAGTATTGAAATTTATATTTCAATTTTGTCAACCATCAAAACTTGAAGGGAAAAAATCTATTGTCATTATCTACAAACAACAGTAGATTACAAAACATTGTAATCCTGCAGTTTTGGAAATCTTCCTTACTGTACAAAGCTGCAGTTCTCTTCAGCACCTTTTTTTTTTGGCAAGTTGTGTTTTTAATTCGATGTGATGACTGGTTTTCTTTGATAAGTTTGAGATTAACACATTGAAAAAATGTCTAAATCAAAATGGTGATTTCTATGAATGAAGGAATTTTATTGATTAGAAAAGTATTTTGTAATGGCAATTATTTTAATTCTATCTTTTTTAGTTTAACTTTGCAGTAGTAGTTATGATACAATTTTAGAAAAGAGCTCACTAGTGTAACGAATGTGTTTTGAGTTTTGGAACAACTTTTTAGATGATTCAGTAGAAGAGGTATGTATTTTGAAGTAAATGCTTAAAACAAGGACTGTAGCTTCTTTTAGTGAAACATTTTACAAGTCTTGTGCTCTGAAAGAAGATTTTAAGAACAAACTGATTTGTTAGCAAACAGGTGACTAAAAGCAATAGATTTGTGACTTTTTAAATAAGAGTTTTTCAAGTTGAAGTTAATGGGACCTTGCCAGACTGAAGAAGCAAGTGAGTAACTAGTCATGAACTGGTAACTACATTTACCAGGTTCCTTTTTTGAGATGTTTACACAGTTGGGGTTTTAATTTTAATTGTTTTGGTTGGGGTGTATGTGTGGGGTTTTCGTTTGGCATATATTGGGTAAACTTTGTCTTTATTCACATACTTTTTTCTTCTTTATGCAACATACTGTGTAAAATAAGTGGATGACTTTGGGGATGGGGTTGAAAAGGAAGCGCTCAATATGACATACATGTATAAAATGTCTGTCTACTTTTGCAAAATTTTCTTTAGCTGTGCCCACGGTGTCATTTGATCATAAGCATTGGCCTTGATGGAGTATGGACTTTTCCTCATGCAGTTCATGTCTTCCTTAGGTTAATCTTGCTCCATGAAGGCTTTTATCAAGAGACGATGTTCAGAGTGTGATTTACAAAATACAACAATTTTGTGTGACTATTCAAAAAAATTACTCATTGGCTACGTTTTCATTCAATAAGAGAATAATTGTAATCAGAAAAGTAAAAGGCATATAAGAGATTTACTGTTTTGACCTTGGATTACATCTTGGTTTCACTAGCATGTGCAACTGTGATTTTCTTTCTTCACTTTTTTTCATTCCTTGAAGAATATTTTTATGAATACAGAACAAATGAGCAATATCAGGATCAGAACGAAAACAAATATGTTTCTATGTTGGAATTAAAGTTAACTATTCAAATTTCTGTAATTTGACTTCGAAATATGGTGAATATGATGATATTCAAGGCATCTTTCTGAAATGGTAGGTTTTTAAAAGATGAACTATTATTGTTACAGAATTATTTTTTTTTTATAATGAATTTAAAGATTGAGTCAATGCTCTCCCCTTCACACAACATTCAGTATCACCTTCAAAAGTAGTGACTATTTTATTACTAACGGTGAGAGGTCTCCCCAATTACTGCTGCCGACCATTCTTTGCAGTCTACCAAGACTTGAATAAGGGCAAAAACATATTAAACACTTATTTACTTTGTCATATGCAAAAGAAATCTCCAATACTGTGGTTGTGCTCTTGACATTGTCTGAATACATTCCGAACCTTCTGAAGGTCATGGGTTGTAGTTTCATTCATACCAGTGTGTTAGGGCATTTTTAATTATTGAAGAGTACACAATTGATTAGAAGGTGCCATAGGTGCTCTGTGGCTTCTGAATTGTATGCCTGTGGAATTTGCACACCAGGAAACTAGCATTTTTTAACCTTCCTGCATTTCTCTGCAGAAATGTCTTGAACAGAAAATATCCTTTGATCAATAATGCATTTCAAACAAACATGCCGAACATTATTTCACAAAAAGTTGAAAATTATTCTGTAATTGACCTTAGAAGGTTCCAAATTTTTTTGTGATAATGACAGAACTGTGGCATTGGAGCAGGTCTCATCTCTAGGATGCAATAAACAAGTGTTTTTCATCTGTCATTCTTGTCAATGTTCTCGGCTCACCACAAATTATGCTAAAAATTATTATTGACATTTACAAAACTTCTATGTATACTTTTTTAATCAGATTATAAATAATTGTTAAAGTTAAAACATATTATGGTCTGAAGATTTGTTCTTCCACAGGTTTTGGGGAATGACTAAACAAAATATTCGATTTTTAAGGATTATGATTTACTCTGTAAAACCAATTAAGGTTTGTGTTTAAAATTAGTATTTAAGTAAATAAGAGGAAGGAAATACCACAAATTAAAGAAATACAAAGTGGAATCCATTTTCTGTAACCAAAATATACTTTTTTCAAAACCACCTAAATTGGTCAAATTTCTGGAATGAAAGTATCAGTTGGATAATATGGATAATAATACAATATTTGCAATGGACTTTATTTCATACAACTAGGAATTATAAATAATAAATTGATGGGAAAACTTTTGAAATTTGTCACAATTGTAGGTGTGTGCAAATGGAAGGGGGACCATGACCTTCAGAATTTTGAAAGAACATTCTTAGCTTTACATAATAAAACATTTTATTTCATAAATATATTTAATCCTCAATTTTGCCTTTCTAACTTGACAATTTATGAAATTGTTATATGGCATTAGAGGAAGAGACTCTCCGAACCGTGTAAATTGGTTTGACATCAAATCAAAAGTATTTATTAATAGTACCATTAAAGTTTTAATTCCATTCTCCTTGTAGTATGATTTATTTACTAGCAAAATATGTCTTATGTAATTACAAAAGTTTAATGGAAAAAGGGCTAAGAAAAATAGATGACACCTTCATGTTTTTGGTTGCACACACCTAGTCAATAGAGCGTACCTTTTATCTGACTCATGGCAGGCATATTATTTTCCATCTTATTATTTGTTGTAAATGAATTGGAGAAAATAAGATTCTGATTTCAAATGGTTTTTGTTGACCAATAAAATAAAAAAAGAAAGAAAAAAAACTACTAGAAAAGTAAGACTTGTTTTATTGATTGAAGAAAGTGGTTAAAAGTGTTTTGTAAAAACAGTTCTGTAGGTTAGTAACAACCTTCAGTTGAAGTGAGACTTGTTAGTAAAAATAATTATTTTTTTTGAAACAAGTTTAAATGGAAGTTATTTGAAATTTCTAAAGAAATGACTACTTATGTAGATGGACTGTTGTTGCAGTGTTTTGTAATAGATTTTCTTGATGCTTAAGATCAGTAAAATAATATTAGTTTTTCTTGTAACAAAATGGTGTTAACTAATCATGTATATCAACATACAAGGTTGATACATGACATCCAGAAAAAAATCAACATATTGATGAACTTTTTTTTTATTGTGATTTTTTCCCCTTGAGACATTATTATAATAATAATACTTGAGATAGTGCAATAAACAATCAATTTGCTCATGAATTTAAACAATTTTTACAATAGTGTTAAAATGTTCCGTTTACAAATCAGTATTTGTTTTGTTTCTACTCATGTGTATCTGTACAAGAGCAATCTTTGTGTGACTGTCTTCTTGGCATCTTGACGTCACATATTTCAGAGGTCTTTAGGAAAAGCTAACTTCACTCACGCATAGCAATATTCAAAATCCTCAATTTTTATATGATCGTAAAATAATATTTTTAACGACATTTTAAAGTTTTTTAAGACTACTTATTTGCAATGGAGATTATTTATTTGCTGTGTGCATTGGGGCATTAAACAAATACATTCACTTGTGGGCAAGGGTCCCACCACTGTGATGGAAATGAATGAGGGGGGTGAAGAGGATTGATGAAAAATGAAAGTTCTTGCTACATTTTTGTAACAGTCAATTCATTACTAACTTTTAAGCTGAAAATATTTATAATTAATTAAAACAATGTTGAGATTAAATATGAAAAGTTGTTTCAAAATTTTATTAAATTTCACTCTATTTTTACTGATCACTTCTGTCTAACATACAGAAAGGTGTGATGAGGGTCTGGAACTGTTCATTCCAAGGGAGAATAAGTAAGTGTTACAAGTTGTTATATATTAGGGAGGAGTTTAAGAAGTGTTAAATTTAAAAATATTTTCAAAATTATTGATTAAACCTGTCAATTAGTCAGTGTTAATGTAAATAATGCTTTAAAGGGTTTTGTTGATAATTCATATACTGCTCTGGTGCTCAAAAAAACATTGGTTTACACTTCAAGTGTGATTTCTCCAAAATCATCAATATTGAGTTAGTGAAAAAAACTGTTTAGAGATTAGAAATTTGTACACCACACCATGATTAGTATGGAGATGCAATATATTATAATTTTACTGTGACGTTAACTCTTATTGTTTAATATTTCATTTTAAATTTTACATGAATCCGTCGCTAAGACTTAATAAATTATGCCATGAAACAGTAAGAAGATTGTTATTGCGAATTAGAATTTTGACATTTTTTATTGCTTCAATATTACTTGTCTCAGAATCTTTTCTTCTCTTGAATTTTGGAATGACATATAGTTGAATCGTTTCTGCGTTGTGAACACATGAAAAACCCATGCAATTAGCTAATTCAGCGTAATCATATTACTTAGTCATGAAATTCAATATTCAAATTTAAATGTAAATCACACTCTGTATTCAGACTTCACAATTTTTGAAAGAGTCTGTTAGATATAAGTGATCTGAAGGAGTGTTGCTGTTATACTAATCCTGTTGAATGAGAACAGGTAAACAAATAACATATGTGGAACAACAAATGTTCAGTGGGGCAAGTGTGTTACACTCCTGTGTTCAGGCTTTGATGTTCTATCTGTACTCTAATGCAGGGTGTTTAGAATTGTCATTGAATGTAAAGTTAGAGAATTTTGGAATGTCGTAATACCAATCAAATTTTGTGATAGCATTATTTATTTAGTGGTAGTGAATTAACGATGTGTGTTGTGAAATTTTAGTGTTATGCAACTAGTCACAGTTCTTACTACAGAGCTCGATAGGTGGTAGTCTGTAATTGCATTTTGTTTCAGAATTCTTACTAATTTATCTGTACTAAGTATTTTGTAAGATGTGTACTGTTTTAGTTAGGATTCCCAGACCAAGCTGAATATGTTATGTTTATGCTGTAAATATGTAAAGACCAGAAAGAATATTGGTTTATAACAAAATGTGCCACTTGTATTAAAATGTGTGTCTATGGTTACTTACATGGAAGTGTCACCATTTATGGGATAATTCTCAATGAAATAAAACCGCATAAAGTGAACGTATTGCAGTCTTTCATTCATTTGTCTGTTATTTGTAATAAATCTGCACAAAACAAAGTAGTATATATCAATAAATTTATAATTATCCTTATCTGGTTTCGAGTTTGATTTGGCTTACTATAAATCTACTTTTTACTTTCTCGTGTACTTGGGATCATCAATCTTGTGAAAAGCGTGTGCAGGTGGTAGATACTCGTATCGCTCCAGGTCCAGTGTTATTTGGTAGTCAATGAAGCCAGAGGCACATTTTTTTATACGGTGTGACAGACACTACATGCCACAGCATCCCTCACGAGGGGCACTATTTAGCTTTTGATATTTACGAAGTTGAAGATGACTTAGTTTCCCATTATGAAATTTAACTTCACATAAAAGATTAATTTAAAGACTATTCCTTAAACATTTATGGGTCATGGTGCATTCAAGTCTGTCAAAAGGTTTTAAAGAATATTTTCTGAACTATATTTTATAATAGTTTTTTGTTGAAATCAGTTCACACAAACATTACAAATATACTTTAAGCCATCCAGCTTCATGCATTTCTCTCTTACAAAATCCAGTATGACTGAGAATTTTCTTTGAATGTTCTGTACGTACAGACCACAATACCATCCATCAATAGCAAAAGCCATTTTATTTGAAAATTTTTGTGGCCAGATTACTAATTTTTCAAATGACTAGTGGAAAGTTGCAATAACCATTATTGATATAAGAAACTATGAGCTATTGCAGCTCTAACTCTTGCAAAATGGGCCAATTAAGTCATTAATAAAAATTTATAAATAATTGAATTTGCAAACAAAAATGCAAATTTTAGTGCCAGCATGCCTTTTTTCACCATATGTATAATGCTAATTAACACGTAACTCATTTTGAGTTCACTCTTTACCATCTTTGCAACAAATTGTGGTGCTCCTCGAACACATACATAGTATGAAGGAAGAACATACACAACTGGCTAACTGCATAGACCATGTTCTGCTGACAATAAACGATAACCATACTTCTGAGCCTCAACCAAGACCTGTGGGTAGCTTATGCAACAAGGTATGGCACACTTCAGATGCATAAGGAATATGTGTATCCACCGATACTGTGAAATCAAGCATATGCGGTTTTATCTCTCATACAAATTACAACTGTTACATCTATATTTGAATGGTTAGATCAGGTCAATATAGAGGATTTTTAAAGAAAATGCTTCTCATGAAACCAAAAAGCTTTATTTATACTCCAATTATTTTCACTTCTTGGCCTTCTTGCCCTCTTTGCTCTTTGCTACATCTTCATTATCCGCTGCTTCTTTTGCCTTCTTGGCACGAATTCCAACCATTCGGGCATCTTCTCTCGCCTACAAACAACACAAGGTGTTAATGACATGTTGGCTGAAATATTAAGCAGAGTTACTTACTTAACAGAGAAATATAGAATTTGTGTTACCTTGCTCAGTGTCTTGAAGGCATTGAACTTCTTCTCACTGTCCAGGATTTTGCGTGCCTTGAATGGCACAATTGGCTGGGTGATGGGCATCACAGTTGTCTTCAGCTGTACAGCCACCTTCCTCTCTTCTTCCTGCACAATAGAAACATCATTGTTGGAGATCAGTGTAATGTTTAACAAAGCATTTGGCAGTTCTTTTGTTTCAGTGTATAACATGTTAGTCAGACCTCATGTTTTCAGGTAATTGTATATTTTGTTTCTTAAAAATCTAGAAACTGAAAAACAACAATATATTTTATGTAACAAATATGTAGGCTGAATGTCTAGTACAATAAGAATTTCATGTATCTCAATGAATGTAATTTGCCCAATATAATTGCACTTGCAATAATATTTATACTGAATTATTCCAATATAGGGTTTAAAATTCACTGCTCATGTATTGGTAATGACAAGACTTATTCTATATCATCAATCTTGTAAAAACTATCTTTGGGCATGAAATAAATTGCTCCTTGGAGGACCCCACTTTTCCTGCCAAACTAGTTTTTGAGATGTCACTGCTCCAACAATAAACTTACCGTTGCTTCACCCTTCTTGAGTTTCTTGTTCTCATGACGCGGGAACAAGATAAGTTTTGATCTGTATTCCTTCAGCCGTCGCACATTCTGCTGCAGTGTCTCCATGGACTTGCTCCTCCTACGAGGATCAACTGCGATTCCAACTGATCGTGCAAAAGCTACATTCAAGCCGGCTCGCTGCAGAAAAAGAAAACGTTGAATAGTTTTATCACAAGGCAAACCAAACAGGATCAATGCATTAATAACATGCTTATGTTCTTAGCTTTTGTGTTCTCTTTTACCGAAAACTTTACCCATAGTGGAACATCTGAAGAATATTGCGAATCTTTATCTCCTTTAACAATTTTGGTTTAAAATTTTAAGTATATCCATAGAAAGAAAATATTGCTATGTATTCTTATAATCATGCCTATTGATAAGGAAAATCCACAAAAATTTGGACACAATTCCTTGCAGCAACAGGCATAAGTCATATTGAAGATATGTGCTACAGTAATCATCTTTATATGCCATTTCGTAGATTTTACGACATTAGTAACAAAATTATATAAATACCAAATCCACAGGGTAGTAAAAAGCTGCAGCCTTTGACCAGCAAGTAATGTACCTATTTCACTTCTTACAAGCAAACTCAAAAATATTCTTACCTTCACTTCATCCAATGTAAATCCTCGGCCAGCGCGTATCTTCGTGTGGTACCTGAAAGTTGGGCACCGAACAATAGGGCGCAGAGGCCCAGCAGCTGGTCGCGGAGCAACTCGTTTGGCTTTCTTAATTCTGTTTTGCCTACGTCTGAATTTTCGCGCAGGTTGATTGAACCAAGTTTTCACAAAACGTTGCCAATCTTTATGAAAGTGCCCATTAGGGATCATATTATTACGTTTCGGCGCCATCGCAGCTCTGAAAACAATCGTTATTGCAATAACATTTAATTCATTGAAAGATAAAATGTTCAAAGAAGCATCTTGTGAATCACATGTATACATAAAACATGTCGCACATCATACCTTGAAAATAACTATAATAAAAATTACTACAAGTACTGATCTACAAAATACAGTTATAAGTTCACTGCCACAAAGCAAGATGACTTAAATAACATTAAATACATTTTATTTTCATCAACTACTAACCTACAATTCCTCTGTTCACGGCTACACGGGAAGAACTTCACTCAGAACAGGAAATCAAAGGACATGCACATTTCGAAACATAAAAAGAGAACGCTTTTAGTAGCGCGCTCTATTCCAGAACCCTCTTGCGGGAACTAATAAACTGCTGTCTAGAAAGATGTCACAGGGTTTGGCGGGAAAGAATTAGATGGCAAGCTCGGTTTGCTCTTACGCGTTTCCCAAAGTATTATTAAGTTTTTGGACGAATTACGCACTTGCTGAGTTTGTGTTTCATGACCCGTTTGTTATTTGCTATGATTTTATTATGATATTTGCTTTCTTTCGGTTTGTTTAGAGTCTGGCAACGCCAGAAGAAATCTTCCACCGTGGGTTACGCATATTTCGTTCCCAAATATACTTAAAGAAGCTCTATTCTCTCAAATATAATAAAAATAATACTAGTATATCAAGTCACTACCTTTTCATTTCGAAAATGGATCGAAATAAATATTTGCGCGACCTTAGCGATGATGCTAATGTGTCACTGTATATTAAAACGAAATGTATGAAAGATTTGGATCCACCTTTCATCGGATTCGAAAAGTGCCAACACCGAATTTTGAGACACTGTGTTTTTCGAGTAAAAGAGACTCCCTCCGTTCGTTTTATGAACTGTTAGATAAAAAATAGAAAATTATATTAATTATCATTGAAAGAAATATTACTTACATTAAACTTAAAAAATCATTGGGGGGATCCAGAATGTTCATAAATACTGTCCCGAATATGTTTGTAATTTTTCACGGGGTGGAGAAACCTAACAAACCGAAATTTGATATAATTTTACATATTAATTTTGTAATGCATTAGTTACGTGGTAAATACCTGATGTTTGTGAAAATTGCAACACCCTGAACAAATGGTCGCTATCACTTTATGCGGCGGCGATGGTGTAACGGTTAGCGTACTGGACTGTTGTACCCAAGTTGGCGGGTGGGTCCGATCGAAGCCGTGGATTTTTAAGGGCGAAAAAATCCTTCGGAGGGGAAGTAAAGCCGGCTGTCCCATGTTCGTAGATTTACTTGCATGTAAAAGATCCTCAAGCCTAAATGACCCCTCTGAGCTAAATTCAAATCGCCTGTTTCTCGCCCAAGAAATACCTTCTTTCTCTGCTAGATGAAAGGAGCGTAGCGAAATTTGCGTGGTCAAACGGAAGAGCGGGCCTGATGGCCCAAGTCTCGCCACGTAAAATAAGGCCAATTCAATTCAATCACTTAACATCGGTTGATGTGTAGAACAGTGTATCCATGAGAAGTAATAAATTTGCTTAGATCTGGCGTGCACATTGGCCTAGCAGCATCCTCCTTTGTGACAGATCAGGTCAGTGTTACGCCACACTCAGTCGGTGTAGAACCGTCAAACGAGTGAAAACATGCAAGCAAGTGTCGATTGCCTAGCCAATGGCAAAGGGCGCAATATCAGCATATGAGTGAGTTCGAACGGGGCAGAATGATGTCTCCAAAAAAGCAGATTTGCCGTGGCGTGACATTGCGGATCGAATGGGGGGCGCTGTTACGACAGTGATGCGTATGTGGAACCAGAGGATAGAGGAGGGTCGGACACATCGATGAGCGAGTACTGGAACACACAATATGACTACAGCGCGAATTTACCGCCATCCTGTCTCCATGGCCGTAACCATCAGGACGACGTCGTCCTCAGTGTTGACTCGAATTTGGAACACTGCAACATGTGTGACATCTGCGTCGACGGTTTGACGCCATCTGCTGAAGGCTGGACTGGTGGTAGCATATCACTGCGGCGGATTCCGTTGACCAGAAACCACCAACGCCCCATACAGCAATGGGCTCGTGAACGCATTCACAGGAGTTCTGAGTGGCACAATGCAGTGTTTTCAGACGAGTCCCTCTTTAATTTGTGGTATAGCGATGACCACGTACGTGCTTGTTACAACCGTAGTGATCGAATTTGCCAGCCCACATCGTTATTATACGCGCACGTTTTCTTGAGCCCCGGAATATCTACCCCCACTACTTTGCCAACATTGGTTGAATGAAGAATAAATTATAGAAAGGAGCGTTGTAGGCAAAATCTGATAACCAGATATGTTCGCTCCCGGGCAATGAAATTATTTTGCATTGAAAAACGAACTACAAATATGACATAAAATACTTTTTGTCAAAATAACCTAACTCCCCACTCCTCTCGCAACTAGCGAAACGAGGAATCAAGAAAACATACGCGGATAATACGCGTAATAGCGAGCAAACGCAAAGTGTAATGGTTTGGGGCGTCATTGGCTACAATGTGCAATCCCCCCTCGTATGTATTGAGGGCAATCTGAACAGCAACCGTTACATCAGGGAGGTTTTAGAGCCCGAGGTACTGCCCCTCCAGCAAGCAGCTCCACATGCCGTAATCCAGCAGGACTATGCCCGACCGCATGTGGCGAGGAATGTGCAAGCTTTCTGCGAAGAGCGACGGGTACCACTGCATCCCTGGTCTGCACATTCGCCTGGCATGTCGCCCATTGTACGTGTGTGGGATGCGATCGGTCGACAACTTGTTCGTTCTGGTCCTCCTGCTGTCACTCGATGCTTTGTGGCCAAGCATAAAAACCGCATGGCAATGTGTTCCCCAGCAGCATATCCAGTCTCTCTTCGAATCCGTGCCACATTTAGAGGCTCTGATGGCAGCGCATGGCGACTTCACGCCGTAGTAAATATTCAAGGTCAAAATGCAGGTAGACAATTCTGTAATTCTAATCATTTGTATAATTGTGATATTCCTATTCTGTGGAATAAATTTTATTAACATAGTATGTCTCCTTCTTGATGCTGCAATATTTTCAAACACCAGTGTATATGGTTACTTTAAAATATACATAAATATCACACCTTTATATCAATTTTTCAAAAAGTATTTTTGAAGGCCCCTTTGCTGAATTCAAACATTGATGGATGCATTTAAATACTTAGGCCGCGCGATTAAAGTATTACTTGTGTTATCCTCAATGACTTTTGCGTTAAAAATGCAGAATTATTAGTCACAAATTACCGTAAGTTCAGATTTCGAGCTTTGTATTCCAAATATTTATTTGCCGGACACTTTCAACTTGTGACTTGACATTTCGCTACGCCTGGCGCTTATAGAACTCGGCGTCGCTGACTCGCTATGCGTGTCGAACTTCGTGACGAGGTCTTTGGGATTAACCTAAAACATTCTTGGGCTGAATTCGCCCCTGTATTATTTGACAAAGCAATTTTTAAATTATTTAAAATGCTTCATATCAATTTGAGTCTCGAAATAGAATTCCCTCGATCCTGCAATTCGTTCTTCGCTTTTGTTCACCGAATTTGCGACACTGAAGTTGGAATCAAAACAACGTGGGTAAGACCACACGATAAGACCCAAAAAATTGCATTTACGATTAATTTAATACTATTTTTGGATCATATTGCTTGGACCATGATACAACCCTCGTAAAGTTTGACTCACATTATGGTACTTCTACTTCAGATGTTGGCTATAAATGGGGACGTACGGAATTTAAAAAAATGTACTTCCCCATTTTGTGACAGCCCAGTCCATTGTTCAGTTATAACAAGTTGGAATAAAAGCTGTCAAATTTCATTATTGTGAAAGAAAAGTAACTAATTTTGATAAATTATTTTACTCTGTCTGATGTACATTCTTAGGAAGTCTGGAGGAAAAGTCCTGAAGAAAAGGCGGGAGAACGTATTTCTGGGGACGAAAGAAAAGCACGAAGTTACGTTTAAGAACTGGGAAGTGACAATTTCAGTAATTACACAATTTTATTTTCAAAATGGGTCCGTTGTAATAGTGTTGATTCATATTTTATAGATTTAAATTAAAATGGCACAAAAATCCATTACGTGAGTATTGCAAATATCGAGTAATATTAGAAGTGCAAGATTTGTAAACCTTTTCTTGAATTATTGTCTCACTGGTCATGAACCCAGGTGCATTTAGTTGTTGTGTCGAAGGATCAGGTTTTCTTGAGTGTAAAAATTATTGTGTATGTAGTCGACGTTGAGTGGCATACCTTCCATACCTTCCATGACAATTCTGAATTGCACTGAAACTGAGTTATCTGAGTTATACTTCAACCAATTTCCTGATCTTAAACCTGTTGTCTTTCAAACATTGCTCGTTTTACAGATCGTTTTTTAAAGTGAAACCGCCTCTTAAAACTGATGTGCCAGATGAAGAGGTTTCTGACAGTGGGTATGTAATAACCTTGTTTTTAATGTATTTGAGATTTGAGTGTAGAAGGTTTACTTAGATGATATTTCCATAAGCATCAGGTTGGATGTTAAGTAGATCAAGTAATATGATTTATCGGAATTTGGCATGGTCTCCAATACACTTTATTTCTGCCAGCAAAAAGAACGGTCTTGATGTTGGAGATTCACCTGTGAAACGTGCAAGAAGGTCTAAACGTGCCAGAATAGACAGTGATTCAGATGACAGTATCATTGGAGATGCCAGGTAGGGTTAAAAGAATTTTCAGATAGATGCTTTAGGTTTGAGGGATATTGTGCATTAATTAATTTTCTTTACAGTAAACAACATACTAAAAAATTGTCGGTATCACCCATCAACAAGAAAGAGGAGTCCTCTGTTGAGCATGGTGAGTTTTAGATATTTTGGTTTGGTTTGTGCAGTCTGAAAAATTGTGTTGTTATTGTCAAATTATTTTTCTGGTTTTTGCGTGATTTCTGTGATATTACTTCATAAATTCTTACAAAAATCCAAAGAGAACCATTCCTGGGGACTTTTTATATTCTATGTTACTCAGTCCTTTTTGAAAAAATAAATGAAACCAGAATCCTCCATGGAAGGTGAGGGTGAGATCAATGTAATTGAAGGGCTCAAGTAGCCCACCCCCCCGCCCCCGCCGCCCCCCCCCGAATATAATTGAATGTGAAATTGAAATCAAGAAACTCTAAGAGTTATTTTATTTATTTCAACAAATAACAAAATTATATCTTTAAGCAAGAAAATGTTTTTTGGAATACATTTTGAATAAATGTTTTGGGTGAAAGATTTAGTGATCAAATAATACAATATCCACAGTGACCTTAAAACACAAAAACTTTTGTTGTGTTAGGTTAATGTTTAATAAATTCCTTGCTAAAAACAGGAAATAATAAAATGAATTTCAGGAGAAACTTATTAGTGTCATTTGATTCATGTCATAAGTGTCCTACCTTATAAGTAATTACTATAATTAACTATTAACTGGAAATTTTATGAAATATCAGATTAGTGTGCTCAAATTATAAAATTAGGATAACAACTTTCTCGAGTTCTAATTTATTTTGTCTCTTTTTTTTTTTACGAATTATTTCTTATCGGGCCAGGCGATCCCGGTCTGCCATGCCTAGCCAGCACTGCCCGTATCATGAGATGCTGCTGTTACCTTTGTCTCATCATGGTCCAATACTGAAAATCAGTCTTGTGTATGATATTAATGATAAAACACAATGCCAATGCAGGGTGGTTGTGTGTGTTTTGCTGATTTGTCAATTTTATAAATTCTATTACATGGAGTCACTTTTACTTTTTGTTGTGTGCACATTTCAAACTAAAAATTAATTGAATCCACTGCTGTATCTTGTTAACAGAAATCACAATTGAACTTCCAGTGAAAAAGCAAAGATTGTTTTTTATTTGTCATATTGTTCTACATTGTGTGATATGTCATGAAAGTTGCTGATGGTGTGCTTTTTTTACTTCTCAGAAGCTGAAGTACCTGAGGAAACTAAGCCTAGTAGTCCATTGTCGATCATCTCCGTCCAGCGCCCCACAAAGTGATGTGTGAAATATACATCTCTGTGAGACAAAAGGCCTCTTCAGACATAGTTTGGTCCCCAACTCAAATTTCTTTAGCAGAATAGATTTCAGATTCCAATAAAAGAAGCTTTAAGAATATTAGTAACTGCTTGATGTTAGCAATTTTGTGATTTTCATGTATAATACCATATATTCGAAGAGGAAAGGAAGGGTAAAGATTCTTGAGTAATCTAAACAAAAATTTTTCTCATTGAAATATTCTTGATTTTATTACTTAGAAAGTGTTAAAAAGTCTACTCATAAAAACAGGCCGTCCATGAGAATTTGCTATGGAAATGATATTTTGACATGTCCAGCATAACTCACATTACATAATTTTTAAAAAATTCAAAGTTGCATTTTCTTTGTTTTCAAATAAAATCTATTGTTATTTTTATTTCTTTGTGTTGTTTTTTCTTTAAAAACTATTTTTTTAATTCATTATTTCGTATTGCGATTTTATGTAAGATTTTAGTACATTTTTAAAACAAAATTTTAATATTAATATTTCCAGTAGATGTTCTGGCACTGACATTAAAAATCTTTAAAATGATGTGTGTTATAGTAATTAACGAAACTAGTGTAAGAGGGGTATAATTGCGTGAGTGGTATGTTCAAAAATATGAGTGACAATTGGATTAAGTTTTCTTATTCACTGTGAGTAGAATTATGCCCCCTTCATTCACATGTTACGTTCAGTAATTTTTCATTTCCATTAATGAATAATTTTAATTTTGATAAATTAATCATATCTTTACCACTTGAGTATGTATTTGATGACGTCATATTGATTCTGAACTAGACCTGATTTAGTAGGCCTTGCAATGTATATTTGTGATCACTTAAGTGTCTTAGAGAATAATGTTTGAGATAGAGAAATAAGAAACGTTTGAAAACGGAAACGTATTCTGGATGAAATATTAGAAGCTGACAAAGCTATGAAAACATTACTTTGTACAAAAAGAGCATGTATGAGAGAACATTATGTGTTAATGTTGGAAAGGAGAAAGATGATCGAGTTCTGACTCTGATGTTTTTCTGGTGTACTTTTCAGAACAGGTACATACAACTCCCAATTACATTTTTTATATTTGTAATATCCTAAGACCAAATGTTTTACATATTCATGTTACACAATTCTTCATGTTAAATATTGTATGTTCTATTAATCAGTTTGTGTGTAACCAACATGCTTATGGTCATACTTATGTTGTAGAAGATGTGTGTGTGTAAAGGAGAATATTGATATTTTAAATTACAATTTACTTGAATTTGTTAAAAAAATAAAAGGAGTTTTGCCAAAACAACTGCTCTCTGTGAGCCACCATGTCGAAATCGGTGAAGTAAACATATTGCCGCAATAAAAAGCGATTTCTGGGTTCAGATGATTGATGCCAAGTAAGAGTAGGGTAACAGTTTCTGAATTAACTGCAAACTAGTGTACTACAAATATTAAGATGATTGTCTAAGAAGTAGTAATAATTATTCGTTTATAATTTTGTTTCATTCGATCATTAATTATATGTTCGGAGTACTGCATACTTACAATTTTTTTGAAAGTAATATCTTAAAAGGAGTAAATTAAGGAAATTTCTCTGAAGGGGCTGGTTGGTGGTGTGGAGACTGTTGGTCTTTTAACAGAGGTTTGATTTGCGAACCTCATTTGGGTTTCAGTGTCTATTCCAAGAAAAATCTGTTATAGAGGAAAGTAGATGTTTAATAGGGGTGGACTTTCAAATAGGTTTCACTGTACATACATTTTTTAAGAAAAATATATTTTTGGAAAGTAACTTATGGAATCCACTTTAATATCATAACGGTTGTGCGTGGGGATTAAAAAAACAGAATTTTTACAATCAGGATCAAAAATCCCATAAATCTTCAAAATACTAAGAAAATATATTAGTATCTCCTTCAAGAGGATGTTGTTTTAGTAGTTACTTTTAAACATGGATATCTGATTAAATTCCAGTAACTTTGGGGTTTAAAATTATTATATTGTGTTACGAGGAAAATAGAATTTTCATTAAGTGTTAATTACCAAATTTAGCAAAAAACCTGATAGTATCTTTGACCCTGGTGAATAAGCTAATAAATAGAGTTTTTCTGAAAATTAGGTAAAATGTTCTACCTATTATATTTGCATATACTCAATAGTATGTGTCTCATATGCATATACTCATATTCATGTATGAGTATACATTCTATATACTCTTACTCATGTGTATTTACGAATGTAACATTATAATTTGTTAAAATCGTTAACTCTGAGAAGACTAGTCAAGCTGTCTGATTACCTACATTATAACAACGATTCGAGATCATTTATAAACATTAAATGCTTCAAATTATCTGTTGATTCATGCTAGAAGATTCTAATAATCAAAACGAGGACACAATATTTTCACGAGTTATCAAGCTTATTCATTGAAACAAAGTCAAAGATAATTTATCCAAAATTGTGTTCTAGTAAATGTATTTTGAAATTGTTATTGATAAGCATTTGTGGCAACGCCACTTTGCAGAAATTTAAATGACATTATTTCTGAGGCACACAGAAGTAAAAGCAGATATACAACCATGTTAATCTTTCCATTGTCCTTTTAACCACAGGTAAATGATGAAGCAAAGACTGTTAAAAAGGAGCCTGAATTAAAACCTGACTCAGCTAGTCCTGAAAAAAAAAGTTCAAAGCCGAAGCCTAAGAAGCTTAATCAGTTTTTTAGTGAGTATTATATTTTCTTACCTTTTATTTTCAATTTCATGCTCAAATTTCTTATGTAATTTTCCTGTTTTCTATTCATGAACTTGATCTATACTTTCTTCTATTACAGTCCTGATCATTAAATGAAATTAAATTGGAGTACAATCCCTTTTTTGCGTTTTCAGAAATAACGATTTTCTGCAGTTTACACTGATTTTCCCCAGTCCCTTCAAGTTTTCTATGTTCATACTGTTTAATTATCCCTGCTTTTCCACTTTCAAAATTATTTTTTTCCTGCGTTTTGCACTTTGTGCGTTTTGCTGTGCTTTATGCGTTAGACACTGGTGTTGACCACGGACAGACGGAGATAGACGTTTTTCTATACATTGAGTTTTACAGAAATGAATCAGTCTTGTAGTACTCTGCTGTGATTCTCTTAGCCTTCTTCCTCTCCGCTTCAGATAACTTAACAATAATTCATCAACTGATTTATCATTTGTCTCACAGCTATGATGGATTCTGTGACTTGTGGGAATTACTGACAATGAGAAGCTCTCCAAAGTTACTGACAGGGAAGTCTGTCATTGAATTTCCCCCTATTCCCTCAGATTTAAAGGCATATCAAATTCACTCCATGGTAGATCGAGTGGCACAGTGCCACTTTCAATTTTAGAGTGACTAAGGATTGTGTAAAGCCCTAGCCTTCCTCATTCCGTACTTTTAAGCCTTGGGAAGAAATTTTAAACCATCTTCTCATAGACTATTGCCACTTTTCCAATGTTTTTCTACTGTGCAGTGACTTCCCCCAATCTTCAACACATGTGAGATGGCCATAAGATTCTGTGGAGCATGCTCTTCTACTTGGTGCTAAATTTGATGGGAGCCGGCACAGACGGTCTGGGTAGCTCTTTAAAAGCAATCAGTCCGCTTTCTCAAACTTGCACATATAAATGCTCTTTTACTTTCTCTGTGTCAAATGCTTTTATGTTATTATTAGAAATTAATGTAGTTCAAAATGTTTACATAACAGACATTGTGATAACTAGTTATGGCTGACCTTGCTTGGTAGAACTGCAGCACATCCTCATATTAACGTTCTATCAAACGTGAGGTCTATGTGAAGTCGTAGGATTCTGCGACCAGTCTTGCTCTCGCAAACATCAGGTCTGGCCAATTGTGTATAAAACATGAAGACATTCTGGTTCCGGGATCTTTTACTTGTTATAAAATGTTCAGTGCTTGCCTGTTGTTACTAAAACAAACATGCTTTCCATCAAAGAAGAGTTAAGTAAATAGAATTTGCATGCCTCTTTACAATCCCCTAATTTTTGGTTTAATGGATATAAATTATAAATTTGATCAAAATAACAATGAATGTAACCTACGAATGTAACTCTCTTGCTCAGTATTACATAATATTTTTTTGATATAGTTTGTACATTAGATTTAATATATGCAATGTTAATCTTTATTATTCGTAAGTTTCTGTAAAAAAATGTCTAAATGGTGGCTAAGTATTTTATAAATAATAGTGAAATTCCTAAACATTAACCTGAATATACTTATAAACATTAACCTGAATACATTTATTATTTTGAGAAGAAAGCAAGCAAGCAACCAACCAAACATTTACCCAAGTCCCTGCTAGTGAGTTACGGAGTTTTAAATAGGTTTTTGCATCTCTCTTTGACTTGCCCTTGCTACTCCAAAACAGAGTTGATCATTTGTTTTGAATTGCAGTTGTCCAGAAGGCAGATGAAGTAGACGATAGCAAAACTCAGAATGGTACCTGCGTGTCTCCTGCTGCCTTTGATCCATCTAAAGTGAAGTATCACCCTCTAAAGGATGCCTGCTGGGAAAGTGGGAAACGGTAAGCAGTGTTTTGTAACATATGCAGTCTCTATACATCTATACTATATTTATGTTAGGTTTCTTTCCATGTCCATAATTATACTGTAAAGACAGTTAATCAGCTGCTGAAGATATCCAAGCCTCCACTTTCATGCAGCTTTCCACGAAAGTCGACAGTGTCAAACAATTATCCATCACAGTCAATTTTTTTTCATGCATGCGCGAACTGGTTGCTATACCTGAGATTCACTCCGAGCGATTACTCAGGTCTCTTAAGCAGTGCCTAAGAGAGACTGCTTTAGAGGGCAACAACTTATGCAGGGAAGGGCAAAAACTTGTTGCATTGTTTTTGCAGCACATCACTTAGCCCTTTTGGGAATTGATCGTTTGTATGTCTACAGAAATCCTCCCTTTGGTTTTGGCTTGTAACGTCGCAGTCAGCTAATGCCTTTTAACCCTTTGGCCTGGGACTGGGCATTGTTAGTAATCAGGAACTCCCAGATGGCCACCCATCTGGCCATCGTTGGTGCCTCGAGATGCTTAGCTTTCATGACTTCTTTGAGTGTAGTTGAGCAGTTCAGATAATGGCACTGACTACTTTCAAAGAACTTACGGCAACCTCCGGGAACAACGCCAGAAAGCAAAGAAGAAAATTTGGAAAAAACAAAAAAAGTCAATTACTCTACACAGAATGACTCAGACCTGGAAACTAATAGTTGTTTTGACTCGGCTTAGCTATCTTCAGGATTATCTAAAACAGTTAACCCATCACTACCCATTAATAATCAGTCTACATGAAACATCTCATTCCGCTTTGCTGTATCTTGTCATGGTTGTAGGGTTAATAGTGATGAGGGTCTCAGGGTTCATGGTGGAGTCGTTACATTGATTCTGGATTTGCTGCTGTTGAGAGAGCTAACTGTCAGACTGATCTTCTAGGTTGTGTATGTACAGACTCTCACTGTATGTCATGTAACTCCAGGGCAAATTGTGTCGGCTGATGACTTCTTGGACCTGATAAACTAACTGTGCACTCCATTCTTCATTATTGGGAATGTGAATGACCATAGCCTTCTTTGGAGCTCTTCCCATACACGTCAGAGGGGCCATAATTTGGAATTTATTGTAGATACCACTAAACTGATTATTCTCAGTTCACGTTTAACTATGAATTTTTCCATTACTACAAACTTCAACACATCTATTGACCTGACCCTGTGCTGCCGTTCTCTTGCATCCTATCTGCAGTGAACCATTTGCACATCTTAATATGTGCAGAAGAGACCATTTTCACACTTTGACAAACTCTTCAAAGGATCGTGCAAAACTCTGACTAGTCAACATTCCAGTCCTCAGGTACTTGATTTTAAAATTTGTTGTAGGATATTCACATTTACATACCCTGAGAAATCCCAAGCAACCCTCCCATTCCCTCTAGAAAACTGTCCTCTCTTTTTCTACTTCACACTTTCCAACTTTTTCAAATAGACTAATTTACTACTTGCTCCCCCAAGTACCAGGTTCAGTTTCATGAATAAGGTCTGGCCATCTCTGCCTCCAAAAGCAGAATAATATATTGAAATATCAACAAAATTCACTAGATTGCACTGTAGAACAAAACAATTAAAGAATTATATCAAATGCCACCAGGAACACACTGCAGGATTTTTTGAATCTATATCATTCGCCAAAGACCTCAAAGAAATTGTTTTCACACCGTAATGTATAAGATGAGACCTATTTGAACATTCTATTACATTTTTGCTGGTCCAGTGCTTCTTGATATTATTACCCCATAGCTCGGCGACGGGCACCTAATGTGTGTGGCAACTAATGGCTGCAACTAATGTGTGTGAGGGACAGAGAGAGGCAGAGACATAGTCAGACAGAGACACAGAGACATAGACAGACAGAGACGTAGACAGACAGACTCGGAGACGTAGAAAGACGCGGAGACGTAGACAGACAGAGACGCGGAGACGTAGACAGACAGAGACGCGGAGACGTAGACAGACAGAGACGCGGAGAAATAGACAGACAGACAGAGACTCAGACATAGACAGACAGTGTGAGGAGAAGAGGGGGGAAGGGAAGCGGGAGAGCGCACATCTGCCAGGTTCCTGTAGTTCATACATAGATGGCTCGTCTTTCAGTGTCACAGTGCTTTAAGTGTTTCTGCAAATGTTGTTTTGAAGCTGGTTTTCACCCGAAACTTCCAATTATTTGAGAAACTTTACACAAAATTATTTGAGCAATTCTACTCACAAATACAATAAGGTATAAGAAATACCCTTGATGTAAATATTGATGGAGTGAGAGATATTTCAAAAAAATCTGTTTAATTTTTGAAAAACCAATAGAATACATTAAAGTGACATGACACAGTTCTGTGCATGTAGCTCTATCTGTACAGAAAGTGTAAAGAAAAAATTTGGTTATCAAGAAAATGGTGAGTGTTTCTGAAATTGCCCCATTTTGAGCTCATTTTCTTAGAAAACATTTTTGAGTTTTCAAGCAATTTTTTAAAACCTCATTTGAAAGTACTTGCAATGATATGATAGATGCAATAGCAGCAATACAGTGTACAAACTGCCTGTAATGTAAATATCAACAATGTGAGTGAGAAGTCATAAATTACGTTTGTGTTATTTTTGGAAAACAAAACATTACAACTAAGTAGTATTTGTCATCTTATAAAGTAAATTTAGCACTGACCCCACAAAAAGTTGAAATGAAAAAACTGGAGCTGGTTTTTATTTATTTTTTTCTTTATGATGGCAGCAACAAGCTATTTTACACATACCTTACAATGGTGTATAACTTGTATAATAAGTCACAATGTTATATTTAAATATCAATTATGGATTGCAGATCGTACTTATAGGTTATATTGTATATGCTGAGTTTACTGTATGCGTTTTTGAGAAAATGCTGTTTTGAATATTGTCCATATTTCATTCGAAACTCAATCTACCAAAACAGACACCCTACTTTTACAAATATGAGAGAGCCAAATCTCACATAAAACCTAAGAATATTATTTAAAATTTTACATATATGAAGGCATTAATGTTCTACTGAAATATAAATTGCAATTTGAAAGAGGCAAATGCTCATGAACATAGTTTTGGTCCAGGGTACCCTATTTGGCTCTGTCCCGGACTCTGGAAGCTATTGAGTCCCTGAGCAGTCGGCTGCGCACTGTGGAGACACTTGCAAACTACTTCCGGTCTGTCATACTTCTATCACCTGATGATTTGCTGCCAAGTGTCTACTTGTGCCTGAATCGGCTAGCACCAGCTTACGAAGGTCTGTATCTTGTATAATTATTTGCATGAACAAAGTGAATTGACAAGACTTGAAATAAATTTTTTGTAGTCTTTCTCTTATTGGGAGATTTAAGATTGCAATTTTGTTTCACATTTGGAAAACATTTGAATGGACTAGGACTGTGACTAGGACAATATAAATGACATTGTATATATTCTGAGAAAAAACATGTTTATATATTTCCGTGTTTTACATATGTCTTTAAAAATTTTCCATAATCTTTTCAAAACTTTTTAGTCTAAATTTTCATTAAGGAAACTATCTTAATCGTCAGTAAAAGAAAAATAATTGAACTTTTCCACTTTTTTTAAAAATAATTAACGAAAACGAGATCCGCACCATTCACTTAAGGTTCCTAACACTCTCTCTGGTGCAGTTTAATTTGAAAATTGGGAGTGATTTTTTAAAAAAAATTGAAAATGTTGAGGCTTTATATAAAAGTACATTCAAAAATCATAATATCTGTTACAAACTCGCTAAGGCTGGAGTTTGTTCAGATCGATCTGGGAATATTAATTTTGGAGAAAATTATCTGAACAGTTTAGGTACTAGCTTTGATCATGGATGGATGGATTGACTGACATAGTCCTAAATATTACTCAAATAAAAAATATTAGATAAATAATTTCTCTTTGATTTGTAGTCCAGATTTTACTGAATCCAATGCAAGAGCAACAAGAACTTAGTGCTGAGTAATTAACAAAACTGTGAATAATGCAAAAAGTGGCAAGTGACTTAAAACAAAAAATGGCTGACATTTATGATACACGTATTATTATTATTTTAACACAATTATTATTTTTTTAAAGTGTTTTTTGAACAGCCAAAATATAATAAAGAATATATATAGAAAGTATGAATTTTTTTGAGATGGTGAAGCAACCAATATATTTAATTCTGGATCACTTGAAATGTAATGACCCTTCCCCATTTTGCTGGGTACAATTTATTTTCGCTTGTTGCTAAGTCCTCTTTTCTTCTTAAAATGTTTAGCTAAAATGTTCCACATTGATGACATATTCGACAACCTTGCAGGCAGCAAATTTTTTTATGCACTAAATTGGTGTTAAATTCTTACACAAGTCAGTTGTTCACTGGAAGAATGGTGTAAGAAGGTGTAAGATGGTAAAAAAGATGTAATTTCTTTCTTTCTTTTTTTTTTCTTCTTTTTTTCTTTCTTTTTTTCTTTTCTTTTCTTTTCTCTTTGTTCTCTCACCTTTTTCTTCGTTTTCATCATCTTCTTTTTCTTCTTCTCTTTCTTCATTTTCTTTCTTCTCTTCTTCCATTTCTTTCTTCTCTCTTTCTCCTCTGTGTCCCAGCTAATGTAATGTGACGTGAATATTGTTGGAGTTGCTGCCAGATGACAGTGTAGTGCCTAAAAGTCAAGCAGGTGTCTAATGAAATAATTGACAGACAACTGGAATGCTGCAAGTACTATTAACTGTTTTATTGTTTGCATTATTTTATGGAATGAGTATTGTATTGGATGCATGTGAACAAAAGCGCATTTTAAAACTTCTTAAAACATTTCGAGTCTTTGGTTGATCAAATCCAGAATATTAAAAATAATTTTTTTATATACAAAATCAATTGCAGGTAAATATTTTAACTGAGTGCCTTTGGAGAACTACCCCACTATATAGATGTCAGAGATTATATGAATATTTCTATTTAAATCTCTTTTATTAAAAATTTAATTTGATGATGTGTATTTCACATTCCGATGACATAAGAAATTATTTTAAAGTTAGACGGTATAAGTGAAGTATTATTCACAGAGTCAGGTTTTACAATTGTGATTTTTATTGATTTGTATGTGCTATTCATTCTGAAATGCACTTATGAAATAATCACTCATTGCTGGGGTTTTCAGAAATTTTCTTTACTCTCTTGGCAAAAGTGAGGTTTGATTAAACCAGTAACAGTGATACTTCATATTAATTTCTAGGTCTGGACTGTGATAGGTGACATGATAGAACTGATAATGATGGTGATTTGTAAGATCAGAAGTCTTATTTTCATTTGATAATTAAGATGACAAATGTTCACTTAGTTCAGCAATCTATTAATTAGATTTCACACTGTTGTGATACAATACAATGTAATGTGGGCCTTTTTTGTCTCAGTAATAGCCTTAAATATAGAAATGTTTGTTGATTTAGGAAAGAATGTAGAACAACCATTAGTCCATGCTTATAATGTTCTGTTTTTTTACACAATTTTTCACACAATTTTTTTCACACAATTTACATTTCCTAGACATTTTTCATTGAAAAGGGGCAAACAATTTTGGGGATAAGTATGGTAATCAGTATGGGACAGATTTTAATGAAATGTCTTTTTATTATTATTTTTATTATTAATATTATAATTTTCCCACTTTGGAATAATACCATTTAGAATAAAAATTCATTTTATGTTAAGACAAAACGAGTTGACCTGTTTTTGAATGTCATTTTTTTGCATTTTTCATAGATTTCTACTCAAAAGTAATTTTTTTACCTTTTTACATTACTTCGTATTTAATGTATTTTTTGCTGATTTCATTGATTTTAATATTGTTTTAATGGTACTTGCTTCAAACAATAATAGCGAAGTGCAACAAATATTCACCACAGAAGTCCTGAGAAGCATATTCAATTTCTTCACTCAGATATTGTAATGTCAGCCGTTGTGAGTACTATGCAATCTAAGATTCATGTAACGCCTAACTGCACTATTGTCAGTTCGACCAATTTTGCGATTTATCATGAGAGGCAGAGATACTCTTTTCAAGAACACTCCAAACCAAAAGTTTGCAAGCTAAGTTCACTTGAACAATATTAAGAAGCCTTGATTACATCAGTAACATACCCAACAGCTTAAATTGTTCATTTGAAGTGGTTTTGATCAAATTTTTTGTGTCATTGTTCTTTGTTTTTAGGGCATTTTTAAAGCATTTTATTGATCATTTTTGGCAATGTTTTAGGTCATCAAAATGCTCCCCCTAGTAATCAATCCTCTTTTGGAAATCTAATTGTGGTTGCTTTTTCCTTTCCCTTCTGTTGTTGTTGGGTACTTTTAGTTTTCCTTTACATTTTTAAAATTATGTACAGACGATTTTTAAATCTATATATCGAAAAAAGTACTAACTTTATTCTTTCTCTTTTATTATTAAGTATGAATTGTGTCTTGCAGGTCTAGAGTTAGGAATTGCAGAAACCACGTTGATGAAGGCTATTGCTCAGAGTACTGGTCGAACACTGGCTCAAGTAAAAGCAGATGCTGCTGCTGCTGGTGATCTAGGCATTGTGGCAGAGCAAAGCAAGGGTGCACAGCGTACCATGTTCCAACCTGCAGCACTCACTGTTTTCACTGTCTTTTCAAAGCTGAAGGATATTGCCCAAATGACTGGCAGAGAGGTGAGGATTTAAGACTAGACAAGAAGATGCCACTTGGATTTTATTTTCCTGGTCAGTGAACAGTTTTGTGAAGTTGAAAGAATCACCAGTGTTATTTCTGTACTGTAAAAGATTTGTTTTGTATTGCAGAGAGATTTCTAAAGTGTCAAGAGTTGTATATTTTTTTAAACACCTTTTAAAATCATCAGTCTTTTAAAAGTAAAAGATATTCATGCTGGAACCCAACTTCGGTCTTTTCTGTCAACCCATGGTATGAAGTATGGGTATCCTTCAAAAATGTAATAGAACGTAAAGAGTCTTATTGTGTAGCAAAAGAAAAATAACTGATTTCCTTTTAGGAGAATGAAAACTAGGTTTTAAGGGCTTAAAACACATGGGTTAATTTTGGCTTCAATCTGTTTGATACAGTCCCGGGGGTAATTTCCTAACGAGCAGAAATATGGGGTTTCATGGCAATAATTTCTTACGAATTGTGCAAAACAGTCATCTTTCCTTAACGTGTTATATACAAAAAGGTGTGTGTGCCTCTCACCACTCATGACTGCACTCTCTGCACTCACTGTCACTCTCTCCGCCACCCATGGCCATGCACTTGCCACAGATGGTTGATTTTCCATCAGTTACGAACACGATTATACATTAAGTTCTAATAAATGTATGCATTTGCTTAAGGCATCATTAAAAGTGACCATACAGTGTTTTTTCTAATGCTTTTGATTTGCTCATTCTCTTCTCCATCATTAACAATATTTTACAAAACATTTTTATGCGTTCAAACAAATACGAGGACAAATACAAATACGCACAATTATAAAAAGAAATTTCTTTTGCAGAATATCAATACTAGTACTTTTATTGCCTCAAATTTTAATGAGTCCTAAATTTAGACCCCAAAAATATTGTCTGCTGCATTGATACATTTAAATGAATAACAATCTGTACTCTTTACTAATTTAAAGATAAGACAAATTCAGAGATTTAAAACAAAATTGTTAATAACTAGTATTATAGTAATATGGATAAGAAGGATTAATGGGTATTGTGATTTATTTTCAGGCTATGAGCAAAAAAGCAGATCGTATCCAGGCATTGCTGGTGGCATGCCGCCATTCGGAGGCTCGCTTCTTGATACGGTCTTTGGCAGGCAAGCTACGTGTAGGACTTGCTGAGCAATCTGTTCTGCAGGTATGATTTTTCTTTTGCTTGTGCATTGACGTGTAATGCTCAATTTATGAATCGGAAGGTGAATGATGAAAACGTGATTTTATTTATCTATTTATATATAATATATGTATATAAATATAAGAGGACAGCTGAAATTTTTACTATTCTGTTATCTACCCAAATGGTATGGCATGGCATGACTAAGGCCAAGAATTTTTACGAAATTACATATGATTGTTACAGTTTTAAGAATTTTAACTAGGAATCATTTAATTGGGTTTCTTGATTTGATTTGGAATATTTTCATTTTGCCTCATGTTAGAAATTTGCCCTTATTTTGCCTTTTTCTTTCACTCTTGGCCCTAATTTTGATCAAGCTGAAAACTTGTCTGGAAGCCTACACTATGCATGACCCAGTAACGTTTTTTGTCTTTTCTCTGGGAGCCAAGGCACAATTCCAGGCAGGGAGTATTGAATTCGAGCTGCTGGCACAAGAAGTGTTAAAATTCATTACAAAAGAAAGTGGGGTGATCCATTCTTGGATTTCTTTCATTGAAACTGACAGTCTTGTTTCAGCCCCAAGAAATCTCATTCCTTGAGAATGGCATCTAACACCTTTCAAAGAAAGTGATCTCTGTGCATGATATTTAGTAGGGTTCGGCTCAGAGATGCCAATTACACAAGTTCACAGAATGAAAACAATAGCTCGAAACAATAACAGTAAAAATTCTGAAGCCATTCCGGAATTCAAAAGAGAATAGTTTGGACTAAATTTTTAATAGTGTGAAACAAATCCATCATTATGAAGCTGAAATTTAGTGAGCCACAACGAATATGGTGAAACTGATGTATGGTGATGAAGGTGGTGGGTTTTTTGTTTTGTTTTTTTGTCCGGTGATTATGTGTAATCTACGTTGCAGAGAATATACTTCCCTCACAAGTTAGTGTTAGAATAAAGTCACCATGTTACACCGTTTCAAATCATGAGATGCCCTCCCCTAAACCAGTCTATGGCAGCTAGAAATGAGCCTCATGGGCAACCTTCAAGATAGTGATGAAGGCTATTAAAGGTCAAAGAGTGACCCACTAAGGAAATACAACCCAAGTCCAATCCAAAAAACATATTAAAGATGTAGGATTAATGAAAATATTTGTAATACATACCAGCAATTTCAGTATTCGAAAAATAGGCCAATATTCAGGAATAAACAATGGTGCATTCATAAAGACTCTAACTCCACTGTCAACAGAATTGATTTTAGTCAACACGTTTTATATTACATTTTGCTTGTGTATCACACCATTCTAGTAATGTGGTGCGCCTGTGTTATTTTCAATATCCACCTTGGAAAGTAGAACCTTGTAGCACCGCACTGATGTAATGCTTGCATTGCGACTGGAGGCACATGTACAAAGTAACCTCGAGTATTACTCGAAGTTCATCACTTATTTACACCTGCTATTGGCTAATACTATCATAGAGTTTCATAGAGATAGATTACGACTAAAACTATTTGTTACTTGGTGGACCTGTACATATTGGAATTTATAAGCATCTTTTTTAAATATTACCTATAATTCACACCTGTTGGTTTTCAGAGGCATACCTTTCATTTATTCAGGTTATTCACTTGAGAGAGAGATATGTTTTGAAATTTCCCTGAGAAAAACCTAAATATAAATCTGGTGTCAGAATATTGGCAAAGAAATGATTGGTTCCATTCCTGGCTGCAGGCATTGGGCCAGGCGTGTGCTCTGACACCTCCAGAGAAGCCTAACACAGTCAACGCTTGCAAGGACATGAATCCAGATGCTGTAAAAGCTTGTGTGGACCAGAATGCCCTCATCATCAAGACCACTTATTGGTAAGTTGTATTTATTTGTCCCCAGTTTTGTGCGAGTTTCCTGGTGCTGATAATTGCGTAATTTTTTATTGACAAAATGCAGAATGAGGCATTTAACCAAATATTTATATGATTTATATATTTTTGATTTAATTGTTCTAATGCTTTGATTGCCTGAATACTGCCTTATGTAAATAATGCATGAAATGCTCAAAATGTCTGTAGGAATGTCTTCTGTTATTCAGTTACTAATTTTTACTTTCTCACCTTCTGCTTACTCAATATAGAGAAAGTACTGAAATGCTGCAGGAAAAAACTGTTGTTTTTAGACAGAAAAACTTTATTGCTGGGCCCTGGTAATGGAATATTGGATAAATCTTGTTCCTACGTGTAGTAAATTACTGGAACACACTGTGTCTAACATGCTGTGTAGTCACACTAAGTTTGGTGGGTCCTTGATAACGAAAAATCAATTGACATTAAAAGGTCCGCCCTTTCATGAACAATTGTAACGCCTAAGACCAGCTAATTGCGGATTTTCGCCAGAATTGATATTCCCTGATCAATTGGACTGATGTTGCTACCCCTTGAATTTAAAATGGATATTTTGGGGAATACTTTACAAGAATTCTCAACATTTTCAAAATTTTCTCAAAAATGTCTCCAATTTGTTTTTTAAAATGTTTTGTCTGATAGAGCAAAAGATCCATAGAGAAGTGGTGTAGATCGCATTTTTGTTAATCTTTTTGAATATTTTAAAAATGCAAAAGTTCAAAATTGTTTTGGTATTTCCCACAACTACAATAATGAAGATAGACATTTTTTGTTAATGAGATCTGTTCATTGAAAACAGATTTTCAAATAAATGTGTATTTTTCGTTCAATTTTTTCAAGTATAGGAGGAGCTTTCATGTGAAACATAGGCAATTTTTAAACAATTTTTTTTTCTTGGAAAGCAGCTCCAAATTGTATTAAAATTTTGTTCATAGTATGTAGCAAAGAAATGAATGGATTGTTTATGCATTAAAGCAATTTTATATATAATGAAAATATAGCTTATTTTACTCTCATACATAGGTATGGTAAGTGTGGTATATGGGTTATCGTAAAAGATTTCTAAAGGTACCCGGCGTATAAGGGTTTACAAACTTGTGAGGATTCTGTAATGATTGACTCAATTTATTTGTGAAATGTTTTTGCATATCAGATAAAAGCATAGCTGTAGGGGACAATTACATATTTAATTACTAGCATTTAAATTGTGAGAACTGTTGGCTTTGTTGTTTGTAAATAAACAACTGAATGAACTTCATGTTTACTAAATCATATTATAATTTTTATCAACTATTCATTTTCATTTGTATGATGAAAGAGAAATACAATGTGATAGGTGGCAAATTAATTGTTGATAAAGATGTTTTTTATCATTGCAGTGAATGTCCAAATTATGACAAAATAATCCCTGTACTCCTCAAAGAAGGTGTGAAGGCTCTTCCTGAGAAATGTCGTCTCTCCCCTGGCATTCCTCTCAAACCAATGCTGGCCCATCCAACAAAAGGGGTCCAAGAAGTGTTGACCCGATTTGATGGTGTCAGGTTCACTTGTGAATGGAAGTATGATGGAGAACGGGCACAGGTTGGTGGATTAGAAAATAATTCCTGGAAAAGAAAGTGTACATTTCCTTTTAAAATATTTAAGCCCATGTAGATGTAAAGTTTCTGCTCTCTCCGCTCATTTCCTTTCCAGTCATTAGATATTTCAGATTCATTCATTCAGAATTATTTTAAATCTCAATAAGAGGAAATAATAAATAACTTAGAAATGTTTGTCTTTTATCCTTCAGATTTGAGATATTGAAGTTCCAGCATAATTCTTTGTGAATATTTTTCTCATTGTGTCAGATTCATTTGGCTGAAGATGGTTCCATCAGTATCTTCAGTCGCAATCAAGAGAACAATACCAGTAAATATCCTGACATCACGGCATCTCTCCGTCAAGCACTGAGTCCAAGCGTTAAGACTTGCATTCTGGACACAGAAGCAGTCGCCTGGGACAGACAGAATTCACAGATTCTTCCATTTCAGATCTTGAGCACACGTAAACGAAAGGTTCATTAATTTCATTATTGGCATGGTGTTCCTTTCCTATTCTTCATTTTGTATTGAAATGAGGGTAAGGTTTCCTTCTTCACTTCACTATTTCTATTGTGTGTATAAATTATAAGCAACATAAAAAATCAATTTAAGAAGCTATTGGCTGTCATACCAACAGTTGGCTACATCTGTGAACTTGTCAGAAGTGATAGTAAAAGTCTTTGAATTAATTATAATCGGAAGAAAAAATTAATTGGCTGACAAGTAACAATTAATTGAATAATTGGAATGAACAATTTTAGTATGACAGCAAAAAATCTTTCACAATTAAAATCAGGTAAGTAACTAGGTCAAAATGGAATAAAAATGTCTTAAAGTTAAAATGTGAGTGGAAAAAAGAAAACTTCCCTCTGAAAACTGAATTGTACTTATTAAGATATGCTTACAAAATAGTACTAAATATGAAGATACATCCAAAATTGAATATTTTCTTTCAAAAACACTTTATTTTTGTAGGGTATAAACATTTCAAAGCAAAAACCAGGTAAATGCATTCATATTGCGTATAAAAGGGTGTGTCTTTAGAAATGTCTTATTTAATTTTATCCTACAATGTGTGAACAATTTTATTTAATTTAATTTCATTTTCCTTTGGTCTTCATGTCAAGATAATTTCATTCAAAAGAATTCTTAGTGAAGTGACTGAAAGTATTATTTATTTATTTTCTGTTCAAAGAGGATTTGTAATATTAATTGAAATCATGTACTTTAATCAAAGAATTGTTTGTGCAGGATGCATCGGAGGAAGACATAAAAGTTCGTGTTTGCATCTTCATGTTTGACCTTTTGTACCTGAATGGGGAGTCATTGGTACGCCAACCACTGGCTGAACGTCGTGCTCTCTTACGCCAACATTTTGTGGAGGTAGAAGGAGAGTTCACATTTGCTACCAGTCTGGATACAGACGTAATAGAAGAGGTCCAAGAATTCTTAGAAACCTCAGTCAAAGGTAAATACATCTATCAGTTCTGAATACCACGTATATGTGAATCAAGACGACTCCCTATTTTAAAATCAGGAGTTACAGAAAAATATGTAAAGCACATACTTGGTATATTTTCTAAATTTACAAATTCAGACCTCATTTGGCCTGATACTGATTCCACTTCATCCTCTTCAGTGGAATGGTCCATAGATCTTGAGGTGGAACTGCCACTGTCATTGTGATCGTACTCTTCCTCCCAAAGTAGATGATCTTCACTCCCGTCTAATGCATTTGTTACACAACACATCTTAAAGCCGTTTATAATAGATTTACTGGATGTCTGTCCAAGCAGTTTAGATCAATTCCGCAATTTGAGACGGGGGAGGCTTGTTCGCCTTCAAGCAACCAACTGCTGTACAGCTGTTTCAGATGGTCTTTTAATGGCTTATTTACCACCACATCTAAGACTTGCAGTTTTGAATTAATTCCTCCAGGAATAATGACAAACTCAGTGTTAAATTTCCAAATTTCGTCTTTCACTGTGAGTTGCCCCTTGAATGCGTTAAGAAGCAGTGTCCTACATTTCTTTAAATGAACAGTCATGTTCTAGACAGTCCAATCATTCATTTGTTATCCTCCTGTTTTCATTGCAAGGGAAAATGTCACTTGGCGGCAGCTTTTCTTTTGGCATTGTTTTACGGTTAAGGATGGCATAGGGCAGCATCTTAGTTACATCAGCAAGATCCCACATCTCAGTGATAAGCAATTTCTCATAGCCCGTAATACGAACCAATTCACTTTTGACACATTCTCTTCACCTGTTGTGCTGCATGGCATGCCAAAGTAAACAGGAGTCTCATCGGCATTTCTGATTTGTTGTAAGAGGTAATTATGATTGTTTATCGGTCACATGCATCTTTAACCCCTGTTAACATGCACCTGTGCACGATTGTTAAGTGACCTTGTACAGGTTTGTTAGGAGCACTTGTACCTCCCTGAATTTTAAAAAATTTAACATTCTTAGCAACAGGTTTTTAACGTCCTTAGCAACGTAAGTGAACAATTATTGATTCATCTAAGTCAAATGTTTAAGCAAAATGAACATGGCAATGTACAAAATAAATCAGATTCAAGCAATTGAGAATAAAAGTAACTCATATTCGGTTTTGGGATAATTGTTGCCAGTTGTAATTTTTTAATAGTACAATTAGAACAATCTATATTAGGTAAATTAACCTCATTTTCCTGGCATTCCACCGAATGAAACTCTTCTCCTATAATCATATTTACGTACAATGTGAAGGTGCCCCCACTAGAACTCAATGTGCCAACAACTTCCTCACTGAACGTCATTTCTTTAGGTATCTTTAGAGTCAGGAGAATTATTTGCTTCCACTAATATTCTGCAGCAACAGATTTCAATTGTTTACTATCATAGTAATGTTGTAAACAAGTTTTTTGGCGATAAATGGAGGGAAAAGTTTCGTTTCAGAGATGTAGGGTAGTTCTTTTACTCTCTGATTAGTAATATTCAAAATATGTTATAAGATATCTGCTTATACAGTGTGTGTTTAGCACTACATGTAGAAAAGAATGAAAATTTTGGAACTGTTTTCAGGAAAATAGCGTTTAAGCAGATCTGAACATCTGCCATATTTCACTCAACATTATGAAGAAATCACTAATATATTCAAACAAATTTTATATGATATTAATTTAAGAACTAATTTTGGAGAAGAAGATTTTTTTGAAGAAAAAATCTCTGTATTCAATGGTGTAGTTCTAAGAAGACACTGAATTTTTTTTTCTTCAATTTTCAAAATTTCAAAGTTAATATTGAAAATTAGACATATCATATCTTTATAACTGTATTTCACTCTATACTTACAAAAAATTTAAAGAACAAAATTAAAGCAGTTTTTCATTAATTAGTATTTTGGAGCTCATCGACTGCTAACATAATTGGTCTCATAAGTGTAGTGCATGTTTTTGACAGGAGGTGGTGTTGATCTTCTTCTGCTGGGTGGTGAGATCCAGTGTCAATATTTATATGCTGGCTTGTTCAATTCAAAAAATTTATTTGAAAATGGCACTTCTGCAGTTACATTTAACTCTTCTCTTTCAATTTCTGTGTGTGGAATAGCTCCACGTTTGGTCCATGTACTTGTGGGAAAATTGAAATCTCCAAAAATAATAACCGGTATCATCAGGTTGCATACCATAGCCATTTTCACAAATAGTTTGAGATCTGATTGCTGAGGTCTCGTGTCAGGTGTTGGTCTATATATTCCCCTTACAGAATATAGTATGTTCCCATATTCTAGTTTCAACCAGGGTCTTGTATTTCGTACATATTTGTCACTTTCGTGGTCATACTTCCAATTTTTTGTACACATACATTCTTACTCCCCCTCATCACCATCTCTGTGATATATGTGAAAGTCAGTCAGGAATATTCGAGTTGAACGATGATTCAGTTGCACAGTGTTGACTTCTATTAGAAATTGGTCAAACTTTGGAAGGAGAGTGGCGATGTTCGTGTACATAATTTTTGTATTAAAAAGCTGCTTATATTATTGTACATAATTATTGGTGTCAGAGTTGCTTGTTATTGCCTTATTCGTTTCCTTCCCCGTCTACAATCTGCAGGACCCCTCTAATGTATTTAAAGACAAGTTTTGAGTTTGATTCTTGTCTACTTTTTAGTTCTGCACCAAGATTTTTTGATTCAGATCTCTGTATTGGGGTTAGATAGTTTCTTGCATGCGGAAATTTCTTCTGCTTATTAAAAATATTTTTGGCAGTAACAGATTCTCTGAAAATTATTTTGTCAGGTCTTTGTCGAGAATCCTGATCCTCTTAAGTTTGGTTTTCCCAATACCATATCGAATGTTTTGCTCGGCTTGTATATCCATTTTTTTCAATATTTCCTTAACAACAATTTGATCTTCAGATTTTTTTAGTTTCAACATCATCCATTCTTGATTTCTGTACTCCATAAAAATACATTCCTCTTGCATGACTCACGCTCCTCAGTTTCTTTGATGAGCCCAGTGTGAGTGTTAGGGTTTACTCCATGAGTCTTAATATTTTGGATTCTTGGAGCTTGGATGTTTTCTGCATTACTTCATTCAATTGTAGATCTTCATACCATTCATGCCAAATGCCATTCACTTTTCTTAAAAATGTGAATAATTGTTAAGTAATAACATGTGGTGGAAAAGTTTCAGGGTGCTAGGCATTCCCACTAGTTTTATTAAATAATCATAATTATTAATATCTATCACAGATATTGTTATTCTGATGATCTATATTTTTTCTACAGCAGCCATTCAGATCTCTTTGTTTCCTTGTGTTTCATTTAAATGATCGTATTTTCTTTTGCAGGAAATTGTGAGGGACTGATGGTAAAAACACTGGACAAGGATGCTACATATGAAATTGCCAAGCGCTCCAGAAACTGGCTGAAATTGAAAAAAGATTATTTGGAAGGCGTGGGTGACACTTTAGATGTCGTGGTACTAGGGGGCTATCTGGGTCGAGGGAAACGAACTGGTGTGTATGGTGGCTTTCTTATTGGGTGCTATGACCAACAGTCAGAAGAATATCAGACACTCTGCAAGGTATTGGTTTTCATCGTCTTTTCAATACTCTACCTCTCTACATTATCCATTTTTTGAAGTTTTCTGGTGTTGGGGTATTTTTACTTTAAATTCTTCCGTAATAGGCAATTTGGTTTGGGTCATTTCTTATTTGTGTGTTTGATTAACGTCATAGCTTTCTGGAAAGTTTTAAGTCCCACAAGTAGTGCCATTTTCACTTTACTTTATACTTTATACTTTTCTTTTTATATTTATTGCAAAGGTTTATGAAGTTCATTTGGGCTATGTTTTTAAAATCAAATTTTTGCTTGTAATTTGCAATTACATTTTGCAATCAAAATTCAAAAATGGAGGTAATTTAAAAAATTGTTTCGAAAAAACTCAATCTCAGATTTGATATAACTGACTTATAACTTAAATAACTCACAATATGTTGATTGCTGCATAAATAAAGTTTATGCACTAGTAACACACAATAATTATCAAAATGAATTTAAAATTATGTTCAAACTTCGGAAAATATTGTAGATGTCCTCTGTTTATGCCACAATATTTGCAGAGAAAGAAGTAATTGTCTTTTAAGGAAAACAACACTATATTTTCTCAAAGCAACTGTTCTATATCATTATTGTATCAAACAAAACTGAAAAAAGTTTTGGCCAAGGTGGAAATGATTAAACATTGATTAAAAAAAAAGAATATATTTGGTAAAAGCAGTATTTTAAATTTTTGTTCTTCATAATGAGGATCGTGACAGCTTGGTGGTTAGGACACACATTTGCTAAATTGAGGGACCCGGGTTCAAACATCATCAATGGTGCGGACTTTTACCTGGCTATGTCTTATTTAGGGTGATTTTGAGGTTCCTCTTGCCTCCTTTCAAAAATTAGTACCTATATTTAATGGCTTTATTAACAGTCAATAAGTTTTGCCAGAAATGTTATATTTGTGCAATTCGGAATGAAACTGCTTATGGGCATATCACATGTTGCTCCCCTTTCATTATAGACTGGACTCCTTTTACCACTTTCAGCATTTCACCTCCCTTACCCCACCACCTGTAATCGGGCTAACTCAACAAACAAGGGCCCTCATATATTCTCCACAGATTATGAGGGCCCAGAGCATGTCACTTTAGTTCTAATGGAGAAAGGCTTCAGTGAAATTTAATCTTTAAATGCAAATTTTATTTGGAGAATCTTCAGTTAAATTCATTTCCTGTAATTAGTGAGGAAAAGAAGGAAGACCTTACAACTATGCTTAACATCATGTATGCAAAATTCCACGTCTTATACAGAAGTATTTGCCAGAGAAAGATTGTTGATTGCAGAACTACATTCAATTTAGGTCTCTAAATTTGAAAAATTCAATTTTAGGCTCAATAAATTCAGCAGATTATCAAGTTAGTTACTGAAGAGAAAGAAAGAAAGGGGCAAAAGAGCCTCTGGAAAACTTGTTTTCAAGCCACAAATTTTAAGATTTTTTTCCTATGTTCTATAAAATTTATTTGACACCCCATTCCCAGAAACACTCATTGGTTTCATTCTGGTTCCTTTTGCCTTCATTGAAAAATAAATGTTGGTCATATTTGCGGACTAGCAGTTATATTGTGGTGTTCATTTGTCATGTTAAACAATGAAACTTTTGGAGAAGGCTCTGTTGTAGCAATGTGTTGTGTGTTTGTTTTGGCAGTTGGGCACTGGATTTTCAGAAGAGGCTCTGCAGCGCCATACTGATTTTTTCAAACAACATGTCCTCGACAGCCCACGGCCATATTATCGATTTGATTCCTCCTTGGAGCCAGACCATTGGTTTGATGCTGTTCAAGTCTGGGAAATAAAATGCGCTGATTTGTCACTATCTCCTGTCCATCGTGCTGCACAAGGCTTGGTAAGTGTGAGTGATTTCTGTGATATTTTTGGTGGTGTTTGTAAGAATCAGACACATTCTTTTATTCCAGATTCTGTTCTTTTATTGTGTTTTCATAGTTCCAGAGTCATAGAATTTTAGTATCTTCCTTGAGATATCAAACTTGAGCTTGTGTGACATCAAAAATCTTCTGATGGTTTTGTGTGCTTGCGTGTGTGCACATGTAATTATTTTAAAATCTCTTGCATTGTTAATATTTACATTACGGATATTTTTATACATTATTGCGTTTATGTACACTAGTGTTTTAAACGGTTTCGTATGAAGTTATTTGCTCAAAAATTCAAACGTTTTGTGTAAAAACACTCAAATGCCGCATTTTCTGAAATCTTAAAGGATTTTTTCTTAACGATGGTTCCAAATGTTTCAGAGAAAATTTGCATGTAGGACCATTTTGTATTCCATTTTATTCTTAAAGTCATATTTCAATTTTGTTTTTACTGTTTGGGGTCCAAAAAATATTTAGAAAACGTGAAATTATATTTTTTTTACTTTCTCCTATTCTTACCTATTTACTTAATAATTCTTATAGTATAAAATGTTATCTATTGCTGTGGAAAATCGATTTTGAAATTTCAAAGGAAATGCATGTTTTGGGATCCCCTGATAACGAAAAAGTGTTGTTTGTTTGTATGTGTGTGCGTGCGCGTGAGTGTGTGTAATGCTGCAGGGAAAACTGAATTTTGACAGAATAACGTATGGCTGGGGCCGTGTCAATAAAAAAGTGGTTAAATCTTTTACATACACCTAATTACTTTCTCTAATACATTGTGTTCAGAATCCATGTTTGGGGTGGGTCATTGATGTGGAAAAAACTTTTAACCATCAGTCTAAAGGGTAGCAGCTAAACTGTCTGTAGGATTTTCACGCAAATTTCTGTTTTCTTATCGATTGGACTGGTGTGCTCCCTTGAATTTGAAATGAATAATGTAATATTTTGGGATACGTTTGGTGAAGCATCAACATTTTCAAAATTATGGCATCGAATTTATCTTTAATTTTTTTCTGGCAAAAAGCAAAAGACAGTTTTGCTGATGACCAACTGAAAGATGGCCGTTCGAAATATCCATTAAATAGCCATCTCCTCACCGAGCATGGTCCCCGCCCCCTGGTCAAGAGTCATCTCAGAGCCTCATGAGACTCAAACAGTCATTTTCGCCCGAATAGAAAGCTTCTCTGGGGCTTCTCCGAGACAAATGTGCGAACATATGCATGCACTAACTCACTCTCGCTCTCACACAATTTGAAATTCACTTTGTAAGTTTTGAAAATGTGTTGCAAAATATTCCAATGTCCTATTAAGAAAAAATATAAATAACTTAACTATGTACTTTCATTTGCTAATTATTTTAATCAGTTCAGTTACGAGTGATCCTGCTGTATTTACTGTAATAATTTTAGCTCTTCTTGGTAAGGACCATATAAAGGAAATTTCATGTTATTAAAAAGAAAACGACATAATAAATTATCTTATTTTTGCAGGTAGATCCAGAAAAAGGAATATCATTGAGATTTCCACGATTTCTGCGAGTAAGAGATGATAAGTCAGTGGAAGATGCAACCAGTGCAGAACAGGTATTTGTCTGAAAGTGTTCTTTCTTGTGCTCTTACAAGGTACACATGTTTGAAGGTGCTTTTTATAATTTAATAAAAGTAAGCAGACATATACAAATTAATGTTCTTGGTGTATGAAAGTGAGAAAGAATGGTTTCAACACAGAATACAGTACTGACGTGGCAGGAAAACTTATTCACTTGCTGAATAACAGTGCACATTGTTCCATCCCCTGCCTTTTCTCCAGAGGGTTCTGCTAGGTTACTGTTTCTCCTGAGGGTAGCTGCGCGATTCCATGGGAGTCTGCTGCACATTGAAACATTTGGATGAGGTGCTTGTGTTAAACGTTGGTCATTAACTGAGCATATCTTTTTGTTATGTCTAAAGGTAGGCGGAATTTACAACAATAGAGACAACTACTAAAACTTGTATTTAATACAGAATGTGTGTATGTTCCTTATACAAGCCGCTTTGCCTTCTATTGGTGGAGTGAGGCTGTCATCGAGGTGTCGTCACAAGTGCGTAGAATGGGCCACCTCGGACTGGTTCTAGTGACAGACATGCTCTGGTGGTGAGCTCCTTTTTGCTCGTAGCTCTGGTGCTTAGGCTGGAGTGAATCCGTTTAGTTTCTTATTGTTTTTTTCTGTGTGGCCAAAGGTTGGTTGGATATGTGTTGGATATTTAGATGATTGTTGGACATTTTCAGTTTGCATGCTGTTGTGTTTTACTGATTGGTGTTTGGTTGTTGGTGTAGGTTTGAGACGGACCGAAGTTGATTGGCAAAGACCGGCATTTGGATTATTATTTCTGTCAGTTATGACAAAGTCATTTTAAGTGTAAGGGGAACATTTGCACTATCTCTAATTATATCTGAGGGAGGAGCTTGTCTTTGTGTTCCTATTGTAAGAACATGTCTTTGAAATTGTGTCAATATCGCTGGTGTTTCGTTGAATTGCAAAACCTGATATGCTTTGTTAAAAGTTAGGTGTCTGAGACGTTGCTTGAAAGGCTCAATATCAAGTTCCTTTTGGAGTTACGCTTTCAGAACGAAGGACATGCTATGAGACGCAGAACTTGATTCTAAACGAACTCAAGTTTGTCATTGTATTTCTTCACTGTGGTCTACCAGGTCGCCACAGTGTTGGTTGTCACTGTACGACAGCTTGATTTGAAAACACAAGGCGAAGAACCAAGGGAAGTGATGGGTCTTTGACAAGAGGGTATAGGAGGCGTACTCTTTGTTAGAGTTTGTTTGACATTGGAATGCCAGCAATTGTTCGTTTGATTGATCAAATTCGTTTGACATTGAGATACCACTTCAGTTCCATCCCGCCCACTTCAGTTTCTGAGAGCGTGATGTTGTCTATTTAGTTGGTGTGTATCGTTGTGGGTTTTTGTGTTCTCGCCATGTGTAGTAAATGTTCTGTGATGTTTCTGCTGAGCAAGTCGAATGGTTCTGTTCTTCCCACTTCTACATCAGGTTCATTTGCTTTTGTAGTATTTTAAGTTTGTGATCTTGGTTTATTCTTCTCTCTAGGACAGTGATGTCATCTGCGTAGAGAAATAGTTTTATTCGTGGTATCTATGATATGTCGTTTACATAGAGCAAGAATAGCAGCGGGGAGAGCTCCGAGTGTTGAGAGACCCCAACAAAAATCCTGTGCTTTGACAATCTCGGTTTTCCCATTTTTAACGTGAACATGCGGTTTGCGAGAAAAGATGTCATTGTTTCTGTTTCATCTTGTGGGAGACATTACCTGAGTTTAGAGATTAGTGTTCTGTGCGACACTTCACTGTCTGGCACATCCCATGAGAGCGTGAAGTCAGCGGGCAATTGTTGTGTCATACATAGTGCCTGTAGCGAGGCTGAATCATCTGGTCGAAAACCAGGTTGTTCTTTGTGTACGATATGACAATCTGTTGAATACATGTGAACTGTAGTATCTCAAAAACTTTTCCCATTATGGGGAGAAGGCCTATTGGACTGTGCCTCCTCAAGAGAGTTTGGTCTTTGCCAGGTTTTGGAAGTAAGGAAATCCTAGCAGGTTTCCAGCTTTCCGGGAAATGGCATTGGTGATGCGGCTATTGTAAATGCACGTGAGTTCCGAGCGGATGACTGGCAAAGCCTTCTTGAGAATTGGAGGGTGCCCTTTGGTCAGGGCACAGTGCCTTGCGGCTATGCAAGCTTGTAATTGTTTTCAAAATTTCTTTGACAGTGCAGTGTGTGAGTGTGGCTGTCCTTTGCATTTTCCTTCTCTTCTGTTTGTGAAGTGTTGTTTGCTAATCTTTCTTCAAGCATATCGGCGAAGAATTCCATTTGGCTTGGTAGGAGAAAAGTATAGAGTATGTTAGTTTGCCTCCCGCATTGTTCGGTCGAAGAATGTCAGTATTAGTATTTGGTACAGATTTGAGAGCCTTTTGAAGTTTGAAAAGGCCCGTGCGTGAGTGATCGGTGTTGATTTCTCTCAGGCGCTTTTACCATTCGTCTGCATGGTAGTTTACGAGCGCCACTTTTAAACAGTTTACGTATTCACATAGCTTTGTTCTGAGCGCAGGGCATTTAAACCACTGCCAGAGTAGCTTGGCATTGCATTTTTTTGCGCACCGATGAAGGAATAAGGCATAGCCAGTCTCATTACAGCCGCAATTCAGACAAGACGTGTTCTGATCTAGAAATGTTCAAAACATTCCACATATAGGAAAAATAGAATCTCCCAAAACATTGTGTCATGTCGTTCAGTATTAAATCTCGAGGACTAATGAAATAAAGGTGGTTTACAAATTCTGGAGCTGTGCCATCACTATTCGTTGTAAACGCAGAGTTCAACATATTTCTGAACATGTAATTGAAATGTGTTATATTAACCAAGATTTATACATATTGTAAGGAAAAATGGCAAAGAAAACGCCCTGTTGACCGTTTTGTTGCATTTACATACACTCACAACTCTATATTGAAAAACACTCTTCGAACTCTAGAATCCTCACTATATAGCTTCTCTAACAACACATTTTTCCTTACACTCACATTTCTTGAAGAGGAAATGTTGAATTCTTTTAATAGATTACACTTCACAGAATGAAATAATTAACAAATTATAGCAGATAAGTGTTTATTCTATTACTTTTTCTATTATATTAAAATGTAGTGATATTACTATGAAAACTGTAAATAACAGCAACTGATAATCGTCTACAGTCCACTACATTTCATTTAAAGAAAAAACAAACAATATGTTTAAATGGATAGCTAAAAATTGATTTTAAACGAAAGTTCTTAGTGTTTTAATATAAAGATTTTTTGCAATTTTCCAAGGCACAAAATTGCACGTGTCTTCTCTCCAACTACACCAATCCAAACCATCTTTGGAACTGCACTAATAGCTTAGCCCTAACATGTGTCTACAAAGTTATAACTCAAAAAAACGTTACATACGGATTTTACGACCCAAAATTCGAGAACATTTTGTTGAGGTGATTCCAATACATTTCCTCTCTGTGCTTTTGATTGAAGAGGAAAAGTAAAGAAAAAAAGTGTTTTAAATGTAATTGCTCTTGAAAAATATCCTTCTGATAGTGAAACACATGATGGTTTGTTTAGATTGCAGAAATGTTCCGCAGCCAGGAGCAGATCAAGAATCAACAAGGAGGAGCCAATGCTAAAGAAGAAGATTTCTATTAAGAACAATTTTTAAATGAGTTGTACAAATTTCTTTTAATCATATCCAAAATACCTAATTTTTAAAATTTGCGCCTAGAACTTGTAATGAAATAAACACTTGATTTTTCCCAAAAGTTATTGTTTTGTGTAATACACCTATGGTCTCTCACTGGCCCTCCTGTCCTTGTTCCTGTAACTCAGAGCTGCCCAAACTACGGCTCATGAGCGAGATGCGCCCACATGGCAATTTAGACTGGCCATCAAACAAATCCAGAATATTTCAAAAGTTAATTTTGTGTTTTCCTAAAATTTTGTAAATAGAAATTTTCTTCCTTGATGAAATCTGTTGTTCAAAGACTGGTCTAGTAATAAGGTAATGTACAATTTTTCAAAAATATGAGTAATTTTCACATACTTTTGCTTGAAATATAGGACCTTTTGAAGCAATTTTCTCAAAAACAGTTCCAAAGCTTTTCCTCATATGCAGCAAATGACTTTAAAAAAATTGGAGCTGAACCAATTTTTGGTGATCTCTGTTTTCCAAAATTTCAACAAGAAACATAACATTGCTATAGTACAATATTGATGATAAAAGAATTTTTGGTAAATGAAATCTATTCTAAAAAATAGATCTTTAAATGTGGTCATTTTTGTTTAAAAAACTAGTGATTTTTGCTAATTTTTATTTGAAGTCACTTCAATTTATAAAAAAAATGTATTAAGCAAATTTTACATTGGTTGGAGCTTAAAGAATTACGAAAGTCCTATTTTCAGCAAAATGTGTTTTAGAAAATTGCAAATTAATATTTACATTGCAAAACTCATCATCAAATTATATAAATGAAGTTTTGAATTTTTGAAAATTGCTAATGCAAATGATCAACTTTTTATTTTTGTTTTTCCGTGTCTGGAAGGTTCACTTAGTGGTGTACGAAAGGATAGGAACATATCACATATGTTAACTTTGAAGGCAAATGTTTGAATCTCAGCCCGGAGAAATTTTGTTGTCTGTTGGAAACTACTCTTCAGAATCCTGTAGGAATATAAAATTACATAGTCGTTACTAATAATGTGAAGAAGTAGGTGCTGTTGGAGCACCATTATATTAAGCTTGAAATACCTTTCCACAAGGGAAACAAATTGGGAGTTACATTAGTTTAGTTAGTTTATTCAGGTTGTATATACAGATACAAGTATACTCCACACGTATACAATACATATACTCCGCACCTCGCTGAGGCTAAAGCTTGTACATGAACCTGCAAATCGCATTATGTACATGATATCACAAAACGTAGTACATTTGTAAGGAAATAAAAATATAAATAGAAAAAGAAAAGGAAACAATTTTTATAAAGATAAATACATTAGCACTAATTATATAAAAGAAAAGAAGAAACTTCATGAAACTATACTCGATGAAATACAAATGAAAAATAAAAATTAAAACATCTAATGTTTTTTCTAATTACAATACATATATAAAAGCTAAAATATAAATTACAATTGGTATAGTATAACTTAGATGAAGGATTTCAATGCAAACGGCTTTACTTAATAATGGTCTTCAGAACAATCTCAGAGGAGTTTATCAACCAGTATTTTATCATACTTTTAGTTGATATACTATTTACATTCAAG